AGTAATTACACAAGCAATCTAGATTTAGATTGGAACTTAAAGGTTAGATTTCTTTTCCATGACAATCGCAATTAGAAAAAGTTCTATGCCCAAAAGATCTTTGGCTGTATTTGAGCCAAGAGAAAGAAAAATAACTGATACTTTAAAATATTTTAAAATAAAAATAAAACAACCATTTTGTGAAAATAACCAGCCTATTCAGTAATACATCAGTGGTCGGCTTTTACTATTGCTGTTATCTATAATAGTCTGCACTTCTGCTTTTAAAATAAAGCTCAGATATCTGGCATAGTCTCATCCTACATGCAGGGAGGGCTCTGGTACTTTCTCTGTTTATAAAAAATTCATTTATTAAAGTGCTTTTGCAACTTTCTAATAGGGTAAAGCACCTTCACCTCGTGCTGCCCATGCATGTGCAACTGTTGGAAACAAAGGCTTTGTGTTTGGTGGCAGATACCGAGTGAGTATATGAACAGCTTTAATGATTCGCTTCTGGTTTCTTTAAAACAGCTAATTACTTATCCTTTTTTAGGATTCTAGAATGAATGATCTTCACTTTCTTAATCTGGATACATGGGAGTGGAATGAATTGTAGGTATCGTTTTATTTAGATAGAATTTCAGATGTTTCCTTTTATTTCCTATTAGTATATAATGAAATGTGCTTAAATTTTCTGTAATCATGAATAGACTCCTTAAGAAAACAAATTTATTTTTATTTCTAGTTGCATAATTGTGTGCCTGGTACAGCCTGTGCTAAACGTTTGCTAATAATTCCATATAATTTTTGAAAAAAATTTTCGTATTCAGTATGTATTAAACAGCTGCTTTTAATCACAGATATTTTAACTTAGCTATTGTTTCCAGAATACCACAAGGCATATGTCCAATTGGCCGATCATGGCACTCACTCACACCAGTCTCTTCAGATCATCTTTTTCTCTTCGGAGGATTTACCACTGATAAGCAGCCGTTAAGTGAGTCATTTAAGCATATGTATTTACATATAACCATGTGTACATTTTAATAAAATTAATGTTATATGTATTTATATATCATCTACAAATAGTAAGTTACAAATGAGTATTTTAGATGACTATAGAGTTTGTTTTTCCTTTAGACTCTATAACACTCCTGTAATTATACTTTCACTGCAGATAGTTTCACATAAAATCCATTCTTCCCAGTAAAAATATGATGACTGGGAGCTCTTAAGTGCCTTGCTGGGGAGTTTGCTTCACTAACCACAGGGATGGTGGTGGATTATGGACCAGTTTTCTTTCTTACTAAAACTATGCACTTTAAATGTCAATGTCATATTGACAAAATAAATACTTCATAGCTATTTTTCTTTTGATTTAACCAGGTGATGCCTGGACTTACTGCATCAGTAAAAATGAATGGATACAATTTAATCATCCCTATACTGAAAAACCCAGGTATGAACTATTTGAAATGTAATTCTTACTCTGAATTAATGAGACCCATGGATAAGCAAGACTGGTAAGAACTGAAGGAGTTTGGCAGCATATCATCCTTAAGGAAAAAAAAAAACAATATTATCCAAGTATCAGATGCTTTTGTTTCATCACATAAAGAATATGGATTTGTACATTTACTTGTGCTGAACTACACATAAGCTTGCCAATAAAAACAAAAGCAAAGGGGAGAGCAAGTGATAGAGCACCTACCTAAGCATGAGGTCCTGAGTTCAAACCCCAGTGCCATCCCTTTTCCCCAAAACTCAGGAACTGTTGCTTAGATTTGCATTAGCACTATAAATTAGTGATCAAGCAGAAAAATCACTTTTAAAAACATCTGGAGGCTGGGAAGGTGGCTCAGTGGTAGAATGCTTGCCTTGCATACATGGGGCCCTGGGTTCGATTCCTCAGCACCACATAAGCAAAAAGAAAAAAGCCAGAAGTGGTGCTGTGGCTCGAGTGGTAGAGCGCTAGCCTTGAGCTGAAGACCTGAGGGACAGCACCCAGGCCCAGAGTTCAGGCCCCATGACCGGACCCCCCCCCCCCCCCAAAAAAAAAATTTGCTAAACACTGATAACTTATTTCTATTAATCTCAAAGAGTTGTTACAAGCAATGATACATTCATTGCTGGAATCCAAAGAACATGTAGATATATCAGCTTGCATTTTTCCCCCAAGCTTTTAATCCAAGTAATCATGCCACTAGGACTTCATTTGGCACAAATGGGCTTTGATAGAGATGTGAATAATTAGGTAGGGCTTGTACCATTCTTCAGGTGTTCTGTGCAAAGCCAATTGGCCTTGACTAGCAAAAGAAGAGAGGGTCCATTTTAACAGACATAGAAAACATATTGTTCAGTTCACATCCTTCATTACATAAATGTACACTATATCAGAGATAATAATATCCAGATAAAATAACGATTTTTCTAGCTACTTTGTAATAACATGTTAAGTTTCCTTAAGATTTTCTCAGGCTATTTGTTCTGAACGACTTTAAGCTCTCTATTATTTCACCAGCTCTCCCCTATACTGTGAAATGGTCAGCTTAGTCTTTTTGATGACTTGAGACTCAAGTTCTGTTTTAAATACAGGTTATGGCATACAGCTTGTGCCAGTGATGAAGGAGAAGTGATAGTTTTTGGTGGGTGTGAGAACAACCTGCTGGTCCATCACAGAGCAGTAAGTATATCACTTCATATCACTACGACACTTGGCAAGTTCTTCCTTTGTAATGTATTCTTCATCTCTACTTTTTAGGCACACAGTAATGAGATACTTATATTTTCAGTTCAGCCAAAATCTCTTGTACGGTAAGTAACTTTACTTGGTGCTTTAACACTCTTAACAAACCAGGTTTATGGATTACTTAAAGGCAATAGTGAGGCTTAATTGAGATAACTAGTTTTTAGAGGTTTTAGGTTGGTGTTGGTGGCTCATACCTGTAATACTATACTAAGGAGGCTGAGATCTGAGGATCACAGTTCAAAGCTAGCCTGAGCAAGAAAGTGTTCGGAGGGTTTAACACTGATAAGCAGCCACTAAGTGAGTTAATTGGAGACTCTTATCTCTAATTAACCACCCAAAAGCTGGATGGAAGTGAGTGTATGGTCAATGGGTAGACTGCCAGCTGAGTGGAAAAAGCCAAATAAGAGTGTAAGGCCCTGAGTTCAAGCACAGTAACAGCACAAAAAGAAAGGCTATCGCATTATGCTGGTGGCTCATGCCTATAATCCTACTCAGGAAGCTGAGATCTGAGGATCACTGTTCAAAGTTAGCCCAGTTAACTACCAAAAAAACTGGAAGTGGAGCAGTGGCTCAAATGGTAGAGAACTAGCCTTGAACAGGAAAGCTTGGGGACAGTGCCCAGGCCCGAGTTCAAGCCCTAGGACTGGCAAAAATAAAAATAAAAAGATTGAAAAAAAGTTAAAAAAGTACTTCTAAATAGTGAAGTAAAATTGTTCTCTCTTTCCTTGTCTACTTTCAGGCTAAGCTTAGAAGCTGTCATTTGTTTTAAGGAAATGTTAGCTAACTCATGGAACTGCCTTCCAAAACACTTACTTCACAGTGTTAATCAGAGGTTTGGTAGTAACAACACTTCTGGATCTTAGGCTTCAAAGATAAAGACTCTGATCAACGTGCATGGACAACCATCCTGTAATCATCGCAGAGTGGCTTCATTTGTATAATTACATATATTGTAGTTTGCAGCTTTTTGGTTTTAATGTGCATGTGAATGGCCTAGAAAATCTATTTTTGTGTCTAAAGTTTACAATAAACATATTTAACACTATTAATTGTCTTCTATCAAAGCAAAAAATTAATGCTTTGCCTTTTTTTTTTTGTCAGTTGTAGAGCTTGAACTCAGGGTGCTGTTCCTGAGCTGCTTTGCTCAAAGCTAGTGTTCTACCACTTTGAACCACAGCTCCACTTCTGGTTTTCTGGTGGTTAATTGGAGATAAGAGTTTCATGGAATTTACTGCCCAGGCTGGCTTTGAACCGCTCTTCTCAGATCTCAGCCCTCTGAGTAGCTAGGATTACAGGCATGAGCCACTGCTTTGACTTTTTACCGCAAGAATGATTATTACATTTGTCTTGGTTACTTCTGGATATATATTGCAGAAACATAGTCAATAATTTTACCATTAAATGGTGAAAGCTTTTCTGCAAAAAATTAAAATTTTATTAAGAATACTTAATTATATATTCTAGTAACTTAGTGTTTTTTTATATTAATTTCAAAGGGAGAGCGATTCTCCATAGGAGACCACCAACAACTATATAGTACCTTGACTTTAATGCTTTGGTACTGGGGCTAGGAAGTAGTTGTGTTGACTTGAGGTGTTGCCCATTCAATTAAAAACTTTTTTGGCTCATAAAGGGATAGAAATAAAGTTTGAATTTATTCTCCATTCTGACAAGAGACAGGCAGAGAAGGCTGCTACGTCAGGAGACGTGAGTGGTAAGCCTCCTGATACTATAGGTTAAAGTACTTTATAAAATACTACTGAAAGAAAAGAAGAGGGGCTGGGAAGGTGGCTCAGTGGTAGAGCGCTTGCCTTGCACACATGAGGCCCTGGGTTCGATTCCTCAGCACCACATAAGCAAAAAGAAAAAAGCCGGAAGTGGTGCTGTGGCTCAAGTGGTAGAGCACTAGCCTTGAGCTGTAGAGCTGAGGGACAGCGCCCAGGCCCAGAGTTCAGGCCCCACGACTGGACCCCCCCCCCCAAAAAAAAAAAATTAAAAAAAGAAGGGAACATGTTACAATGCTGAATGAGAATATAGGAAGAACACAAAGTACAGGTACATAAATACATATGGAGATGACCAACACCAGTTGTTCTAAGTGTTATTTCTCTGGCTGTATCATGGTATTACTAGTATTTTCTACAACTGGCCTAATACATTTTTTGCAAAGTTTTCAAGACATAATTCTAATGTTTAACTGTTCCACAACAAGAACAAAAAGCCTTTTTCATGTAATATATACATTAGATATTATACACAATAGACCACCAAGTCAGTTTAAGCAATTGAGCCACTTCAATTTCTTTACATCATGAAATGAATAATTAGGATTGAAATATCAAGTATAGGGGAATACATATATATATCAGTAGTATTTAACTTTTCACAAATATTTCAGGAAATCTTATCAGACTTTTTTTCTATATAAAACGAGGGGAAAAGTCCTTTTGGAGAATATAGCAAGGCAATATTTAGTTCATTTTAAATGTGGAAGTCCTGTTAACATGGTGATTTCATCTTGGAACTTCAAAAAGGCTATAAAATTGACTCCTCGCAAATACTTTAGGATTTCAGCTATTTCCTTTTTACATTCAGAAGGTTGGGTGCAGACACTTTCACTTTGCCAGGAATGTTTCTTGATAAATCTGTGTCCTAAAAAAAGAAAATTGCTGAATACCTTCATATCTTATGTAGTAAATCATTTAAAACAATAATGTATATTATGCTATGAAAAAAAATTTCCAATATGATTTTATTGTTTCTACTAAGCATTTTCTTTTCTTTCTTTTTTTTTTTTTTGTCGGGCGTGGGGCTTGAACTCTGGGCTTGGGTGCTGTCCCTCAGCTCTTCAGCTCAAGGCGAGTGCTCTACCGCTTGGGCCACAGCGCCACTTCCGGTTTTCTAGTGGTTTATTGGAGATAAGAGTCTTATGGACTTTCCTGCCCGGGCTGGCTTTGAACTGCTGGCTTTGAACTGCGATCCTCAGATCTCAGCCTCCTGAGTAGCTAGGATTACAGGCATGAGCCACCAGCGCCCGCCTGGCATACTAAGCATTTTCTATCAATACGACAGAAACCAACTGCTAATGTCTTTAAACTGTACCATCAATCTCCACAAAGTTCTGGAGGAAAACTTTACCTTTACACTACGGAACAAGTCTTTTTCTCTGGTTGTTGCTTCTTTGGAATGCATGAAACTATTCAAGGCTGTTTTTGCAGCTGCAAATAGAAAACAGAAAAATCTACTTCTGGTCCAAGTAACAATACTGTTTAAAAATCACAACTCAAAAAAAAAAAAATGTTTGAATACCTTTTCCCTTTTTTTGAACTCCAGGAGTAAGTTTCACTTTAAACCTTTAAAAAGAAATCATGAGTTACTAAATTTTATACAAATTTATATAAATATATCAACTATTCTGAGCCAACTAATGGTGACTTACTTATAGTTTGTCATAGTAGTATAAGGGGCACATATTGGAATGGCAAACAGTAGTATGTCTTCAGGATGTGGCTGCCCTGTCAAAGAATCAAAGAGATTTTCCTAAAAAAGAGGAAAATAAAAACAATTAAAAAAATAATTTGTAGCAACCTTACAAAAGAAAAACTCTTAAGGAACAGCTGAGGCTGTAGCTTAGTGGTACAATGCTTAGTTGTATAGGCCTTGAATGTGTGAGGCCAAAGGTTCAATCCCTAGTGCCACAAGTCAAAAGGGAAAACTCAAAATACTGCCAAATAGCACCTGAATGTATTTTTATCCTTTTCTGATAGACATATAGTATAAACTGAGCCTATAAGGATAGGCTCAAAAGAATTGCTGAGTAGCTGTGTGCCGGTGGCTCACGCCTATAATCCTGCTGCTCAGGAGGCTGAGATCTGAGGATTGCCATTCAAAGCCAGCCTGGACAGAAAAGTCCCTGTGAGACTCTTATTCCCAACTGACCAACTAAAAAACTGGAAGCGGCGCTGTGGATCAAGTGGTAGAACACTAGGCTTGAGCACAAAGAGGCTCAGGGATATTGCCCAGGCCGAGTTCAAGCCCCACAACTGACCCCCCCCCCCCCCAAGAAAAGGAATAAAGTTTATGTACTATTTATGAGTTATAATTTGGCCTAGTATAACAAGTAATGAGAAAGCAAGAAAAAAAAGTGCTGGTTATTACCCAACTTGGAGAAAGCTACTGTGAGTTAAAACAATACTAAGAGATAGGATTATATTCTGCACCCTTCTCCTCCCCCCAACCCCTGCATTGAGAGTACTGGGGTTTGAACTGAACCCCACACTTGCCAGGCAGTCATTCTGCTGAGCCTTGTCTCCAGCTCTTTTTTGCGTGTGCTGCGTGTGTGTGTGTGTGTGTGGGGGGGGGGTAGTCCTGGGGCTTGTCCTCCAGAGGATTATGAACAGTGTCTACAGGCTGTTTTGGTATTTACAATAGGTAGTAGGACAAACAGAGAGTGAACTATCTTAAGATACATGAGACAGACCCTGAAGACAAAGAATTATTCATCCCAAAGCATTAAATGTCAAAGTGAACAACTCTGGGCTAGATCAGTGCACTCTCTAAGGAGAAACCCAATTTTTTAAGAGTTATTAGTAGTAGGCTATCTACAAGATACCTTATTTATCGACACAAACATACATTTAGGGCAGAATGCTTGGTGCTGAATTGTAATTAACAGTTCCATAAACTTTTCTAAACCCTTAATATATTCCTCAAACAGTTCTCCTGGACAAGATAACATACAGGGCTCTAGGCATTTACACAGAAACTGACTGAAAGATGATAGATTTGTGAGAAATCCAAAGGCATAACTCCTCTGAACAACTATTGTGCTGTTTATCAAATTACCAGGAAGTGGAAAAATGTCTCAGGGGGCAGGCAAAAGAATGGAAGAAGGTAAGCAAATGTAGTCATTATAACCTTGCTCATTTAACTGTAACCCCTCTGTACAGTATTTTCACAATAAAAAACTTACTTTAAAAAATGTAGTCATTATATTCAATGTACATTATATAAAAATATACTATGTAACTTGAGGGTGGGGATGGGAGGTGAGGAAATGGGGAAAGACCAAGAAGCACTGTACTCATAAACTTACTGAATTGTTACCCTTTTGGACAACTAATATTTAAAAAAAACAACCTCTCCTGATAGGGCTAAAATAGGGTTACAAGGCACGAGGGATAGAGAAGCTGAAGAGACAGTATTTACAAGTTCTTAGTAGAGAACTTAAACCCATAAAGTTTGACTCCAGACAAGACTGAAGTTAGTTTTGTCTGCTTTTTGCTTTTTTTTTTTTTTTGGTTGGTCATGGGGCTTGGAACTCTGGGCCTGGGCGCTGTCCCTCAACTCTTCAGCTCAAGGCCAATGCTCTACCATTTGAGCCACAGCGCACTTCTGGCTTTTTCTGCTTATACGGTGCTGAGGAATCGAACCCAGGCCTTCATGCATGCAAGGCAAGTGCTCTACCACTGAGCCACCTTCCCAGCCCTCTCAGCTTTTTGCTTTTTAAGTAAATATATCAAATATTCTGGAAAAGGACTGCAATGAGGGTGCTGTAGTAGGAATCCAATACAAAAAGCATACCTCAGTTCCTTGTTGATCCAGATCTTGTTCTTCCTGTTCCAAACATAAAAATTTAAAACAGCTATGAAATTCCATATTATTAAGCAATAAAACAGTGCTATAAGACTGTCCCATCTAACTGACAGGGTAGGGACCCTAGGTTTTATCCTTCAGTGTCCTAAGACTGAAGTAGCTTACTATTGTGCTTAATATTTCTGAGAGGGAGAACAAAGAAAATTCCCGCAAGTGGCAGGGGCAGATGTTTCACACAAGCCACGTTAAAGCGAATGTTGTAGGGTCAATGTCAAATGACAACTAAGCTTGCTAGCTTGCCAAGAGAAAATGAAACAGTTCTGATGAGCAGACTTTTATTTTTTAATCTCAGCAGTTTAAACTTTCAAATATTATGACATCCTTAATTTTGAATACTTACAAAAGAAAAATCTATTTGGGGATGATAACCTACTGTCTCAGCCTGCTTAGGCTGCTACAACAAAATACTGTAGATAATTGATTTACTTCTCATAGTTCTGTAGGCTGAGATGTCCAAGATCAGGAAACCAGCACATTCAGTGTCTGGTTAAGGGCCAGCTGTAAAACCAGCAACTTGTTGCTGTGTCTTCACATGGGGAGGAGATACTTCCTTCAACCTGCTGGAGAACTAATCCCATTCCTAAGGGCCTTACCTCTTAATATTATTGTATTGGGTATTTAGTTTCCAAGATAGGAATTTGGGGGAGAACATACTAACATTCAGACCAAAGTCCTTGCCCATGAAAAAGGTAAGTAATGCCTCTCAGGAAGATTTTTGCCTGAGTTTTCAGAATTGCAGAATTCAATAAATTGAGTTTTAGAATTATTAAACAGGAATACTTTTCAGCAGAACAAAAAGATAATAGTGATAACAAAATCTCTGTAAGCCTCACATACTTTTAACTGAGCATACAATTAGAACTCAAAGCCAGGCATTAGTGTCTCATGCCTGTAAATCCTAGTTACTCAGGAGGCTGGGGATCAAGTCAGCCTGGGCAGGAAGTCCATGAGACTACTCTTCTTATTTTTTTTTTTGGGGGGTCCGGTCGTGGGGCCTGAACTCTGGGTCTGGGCGCTGTCCCTCAGCTCTTCAGCTCAAGGCTAGCGCTCTACCACTTGAGCCACAGTGCCACTTCCGGCTTTTTCCTTTTTGCTTATGTGGTGCTGAGGAATCGAACCCAGGGCCTCAGGCGTGCAAGGCAAGCGCTCTACCACTGAGCTACCTTCCCAACCTCATGAGACTCTTCTTATCTACAATTATCTACCAAAAAGCTGGAAATGGTGCTGTGGTTCAACGTTGTAGAGCACTAATCTTGAGCAAAAAAACTAAGGGATAGTGCCCAAGACCTGAGTTTGAGTCACAGGACTGGCATGCATGTGTGCACATACACAAACACAAAATTAGAACTCAAACTTCAAATAAAAGCAATGCTGATCATGAAAGTATTAAGGTTTGATTCAGCTTTTATAGAAGCTTATCAATAATGCTTAAAATTTCAAGAGGATACACATGGAGGATACATATATGCCTACAGGAAGGTATAGTGGAATTTGACCTTGGATTTGGTTGATAAAACAATTTACATAATGATTGTAGCTGTAAAATTGTTAACTTCTTGCTTTTTCTGTACAGCCATTTGAATATAATATGAGATAATATAGAACATTACCCCACAGAAAAGCTTAGAGAAGTATAAATTTATTAAACTTAGTTCATTTGTCTTTTTTTTTCCGGGTAGTTTGAGCTCAGAACCTCAAGCATTCTACCACTGGAGTTTAACTTAAACTGAATTTAATTTAACTGAGTTCTAATAAGAACCAAATAAAATTTCTCCATAAAAGCGATTATTTTGTAAAGACTTGTAGCAGTTTTTTTTTTTTTTTTGACTGCCTATAATTCTTTTTTTTTTTTTGGGTCCGGTCGTGGGGCCTGAACTCTGGGCCTGGGCACTGTCCCTCAGCTCTTCAGCTCAAGGATAGCGCTCTACCACTTGAGCCACAGCGCCACTTCCAGCTTTTTTCTTTTTGTTTATGTGGTGCTGAGGAATCGAACCCAGGGCCTCAGGCATGCAAGGCAAGCGCTCTACCACTGAGCCACCTTCCCAGCCCCATTGACTGCCTATAATTCTTAAAAACAGTTTAGCTTTAGGGTTTTGTTTGTTTGTTTTGTTTGGTGCTGGTACTGGGCTTGAACTCAGGGCCTCAGGTTCTCAACCTGGTGCCCTTTCACTTGAGCCACAGCTTCACTTCCAGCTTTTTGGTAGTTAATTAGAGATAAGGGTCTCTCAGACTTTTCTTCACAGGCTGACTTCAAACCATCTGAGGGATTTCAATCTCCTGAGTAGCTAGGATTACAAGTGTGAGTCACCAGCACAGGTTGTATTCCTAATATGAGGATTGCCATTTACCCTGGTTTTACCACCATTAAGTCCCAGGTTCTGGGCATCCTAGGCAAGAGCCTGAGAGCAGCCTTACCTTATCATCATGTGAGTCATCTATAGCCAAGTCTTGTACCTCGTGAGTTAAGACCTCAAGGGATGGAGTTTCTTTCTTAATGATGTCTGAAACCCTTTGTCCACCTTTGGGTTTCTGAGGCTGCTTTTTCATGGGTTCATCTTTTGTTTTTCCTTTCTTTCCTTTCTTCCCTTTTTCTTCTTTGTTTGAACCTGCAGACTTCAATTCACAGAGAAAAATCAGTTAATATCACCGTCAATAATATCAAGATTTTAACAACAACAATAAAAATAGTTTCATTTTCTATTTCTCACAGATTAGATGAGGGCTGGATGGCCAATGAAAAGCAAAAGGAATAAAGGAGTTTTTTATATGTTACTTACCCCCAACAATTTCATAATAAGTTCACGATCTTCTTCATCCTGGTCTTTGTATTTTTCCTTCATTTTTTTCATTTTGCTCTATTAAATCAGAAAATTTATTTTAGAAAATTTGAGCAGTAAGGAATGTAAAAAATACTTGTAATTCAGAAAAGGTGCTTCTAAGCAGGGCACTGGTGTGGCTCAAGCCTGTAATCCTAGCTACTCAGGAGGCTGTGATCTAAGGTTCACAGCTCAAAGCCAGCCCAGGCAGGAAATTCTGTGAGACTCTTATCTCTAATCAACCACCAGAAAACTAGAAGTAGAACTATGGTTCAAGTGGTACAGTGCTAGCCTTGAGCACAAAAGCTAAGTGCCCAGGCCCTGAGTTCAAGCCTCATGACCACCACCAACAACAAAGGTGCATATAGGCCAGATATGGTAGTTTTACATCTTTAATCGTAAACATTCAGAAGAATTGCAAGTTTGAGGCTAGCCCAACTTAGCAAAATCCTACCTCAAAAAGAAGTCTGTTTTTCTACCATTTCTGTCAAAAATGTTAAAAATAAAGCACTATTATGATAAGCAATATGAAGAACACAAATGGACAAACCATTGTCTTTGTCCTCAAAGAACAAACCACTGGTGGACAAAAGGTTCATACAGAAATTAAGGTAAATTGGGCTGGGAATGTGGCTCAGTGGTACAGTGCTTGTCTAGCCCTGGGTTCAATTCCTCAGTACCACATAAACAGAAAAAGATGGGAGTGGCACTGTGGTTCAAGTGGTAGAGCATTAGCCTTGAGCAAAAGAAGCTTAGGGACAGTGCCTGGGTTCTGAGTTCAAGTCCCAGGATTGGCAAAAAAGTAAATTAACATCACATTTTACAAATAGAATGGGTAAAGTGGAAGGAAGATCTTGATGTAAAAAAAGGAGACATTTTCAGTCTGTGCAAAAATCGTGAGGAAAAAAAAAACGAAGTTTTCCTTAAAAGTGGACTTTATAGTCTGTGGGAACACAAGAAAAGCAAGAATCAAAAGGAAAAGTCTAGAGAGCTATTATACCAGTTACTGCATTTATACACACAGAGGAAGAACAGGAAATATAACAGCAAAGTTAAGCTAGGAACTTGCTATAAGGTTAAAACAATTTTAATTAAACTAGTGTTTTGTTTTTTGTTTTGGTGCTTGAGATTAAACTACAGTTTGAATATGCTACCCAAGCATTATACCAACTGAGCTACAGCCCTGGCCTGCAATTCATTTTAAAGAAGATACATTGATCTATTACCACTGGCGCTCTGCTTAGTCTCCACTTTTTAAAAATAATATGGGCACTTAAAAAAGCATAGGCTAGGGGCTGGGAAGGTGCTCAGTGGTAGAGCACTTGCCTTGCATGCCTGAGGCCCTGGGTTCGATTCCTCAGCACCACATAAGCAAAAAGAAAAAAACCGGAAGTGGCACTATGGCTCAAGTGGTAGAGCGCTAGCCTTGAGCTGAAGAGCTGAGGGACAGCGCCCAGGCCCAGAGTTCAGGCCCCACGACCAGACCCAAAAACAAAACAACAACAACAAAAAAAGCATAGGCTAGGGCTGGGAATATGGCTTAGTGGTAGAGTGCTTACCTGGCATGCATGAACCCCTGAGTTAGATTCCTCAGTATTACATAAACAGAAAAAGGCAGAGGTGGTGCTGTGGCTCAAATGGTAGAGTGCTAGGACTTGGGCAAAAGAAGCTCAGGGACAGTGCCCAGACCCTGAGTTCAATCCCCAGGACTGGTTAAAAAAGAAAAAAAAAATAAGAAGTATAGACTAGTTCAGTATCCCTGGCCGTAAGGTAAATGCAATCAAAACAACATTAGGATTCCACCTCACACCAATAAGATTGGCCAGCATCAAGAATTCAAACAGTAACAAATGCTGGTGGGGAGATGGGGGAAAAATAATCCTATAACACTGCTGGGAATATAAACTAATAAAGCCAACCAGAGATTTCTCAAAAAACTAAATACAGAACTTCCCTACCATTCATCCATATCCATACCACTCTTAGGCATCTGCTCAGAATATTCTAAGTCAGGATACATTAAAAAGATACTTGCACATCCATGTTCATGACTATACTATTCACAATAGACAAGTTATAGAAACAGCTCAAATGCCCTACAATGGATGGGTAGATCAAGGAAATGTGGTACATCTACACGATAAAATTTTACACATCCCTTAGAAATAATAAGTCATTTGCAGGGAAATGAATGGACCTAGAACAAATCATACTAAGTAATCCAGGCTCAGAGAGACAAACAGGACATGTTTTCTCTTCTGTAGAAGCTAGATCTGAAATACAACTATTCATGATATCATACAGGGTTCACAGCATTTACACACAAAGTAAAGGAGGGTGTACTTAAGGGAACCTTGAAGGTGTAACTCCTCTGAACAACTGAAAATAGCAGGAAGTGGGAACATGTTTTAAGGGGTGGACATAGGGGAAGGTGGCAGGAATGGAGAGAAGGAGGGTGAACAAATGTAGTCATTATATTCCATATTTACATATATTATGTAAAACTGAACTATATTACTTGTGTATAGGAACAGAAGGGGGAAAGTGGTGGAGAATGAAGGAAGGTATGAAATATCAATAAGATTTTACTCACTTGACTTACGAAATTGTAATCCCTTTGCACAACTACTTAAATTAAAAATATAGTCTATTGTCTCTTTCTTCATCAACTAACTTCCTTCCTTCCTTCTTTTTTCTTTCTTTTTCATCTGTCATGGGGCTTGAACTCTGGGCCTGGGCGCTGTCCCAACTCTTCAGCTCAAGGCTAGCACTCTACCACTTGAGCCACAGCCACTTCCAGCTTTTTCCATTTATGTGGTGCTGAGGAATTGAACCCAGGGCCTCATACATGCAAGGCAAGCACTCTACCACTGAGCCGCCTTCCCAACCCCTTCATCAACTTTCTTTAATGAAGTATATAAGAATCCTAACCAAAATCACATTGAGAACTACTGTGGGACTGGGGTATAGGCTCAGTAGTATAGTACTTGCTAAGTACATGAATTGAGGCATGGGCTCAATTCCCAGCATCAAAAAGGGGGGAAAAGCCAGGCACTGGTGGCTCATGCAGGTAATCCTAACTACTCAGGAGGCTGAGATCTGAGGATCACTGTTCAAAGACAGCCTAGGCAAGAAAGCCTGTGAACACCTTATCTCCAATTAACCACCAGAAAAACCAGAAGTAGCAGTGTTGCTCAAAGTCTCAAAGTAGTAGAGTGCCAGCCTTGACCAAAAGAACTCAGGGACAGTACCTGTGCCCTGAGTTCAAGCCCTACAATTGACAAAAAAAAAGGAAGGTGTAAAAAAAATTCAGCTCTGGGGGCTGGGAAGGTGGCTCAGTGGTAGAATGCTTGCCTTGCATGCCTGAGGCCCTGGGTTCGATTCCTCAGCACCACATAAAAGAAAAAAGCTGGAAGTGGCGCTGTGGCTCAAGTGGTAGAGCGCTAGCCTTGAGCTGAAGAGCTAAGGGACAGCGCCTAGGCCCAGAGTTCAGGCCCCACAACCGGACCCCCCCCCCCAAAAAAAAAATTCAGCTCTGCCATTTATTAAGGGGAGACTGGCGAATCAGTCTCTTAGTCCTCCTCTGCATTAAAATTATTATGTGGGCAGAATATCATACTGGTCTAAGGAACACAGATTGCTAACTTCCATGTTCCCAGGATATTTTTCTTTGCCTCCACTTACGTTTCACTTTTAAAAAATCAACAGAAAGCTGGGTGCCAGTGGCTCACACCTGTAATCCTAGCTACTCACAAAGCTGAGATCTGAGGATAACAGTTTGAAGTCAAAGCCTGAGAGACTCTCCAATTAACCACCAAAAAGCTGTAGCTCAAGTGGTAGGGGAGGCCTCCAGCAAAGAAACTCAGGGACAGTTCCAGGTCCTCAGTTCAAGGCCAAGAACTGACCCCCCCACCCCCCCCCCAAAAAAAAAATGAAGAGAAACCACACACTTCCCTATGTGACCCATACAAAAGCTTATTACCTTTTGTCCTCGTTTCACTGGCTGGGTAGCAGCAACATTTTTGCTTGTGTTCTGTTGAGTTTCGTTGTGTATAGCACTATCCTTTTCTTTTTCCTTTCCTTCCATCACTTCTAAATCCCCTGAGTCAACTGGATACTTTTTCTTCTTCATTTCTCTAAACACAAATGAAATGGAAACATGAGTTCTAAGAACTTCAAGTATTCAGTGCTCTAGCTGGGTGCCTATAATCCTAGCTACTCAGGAGGCTGAGATCTGAGGATCACGGTTCAAAGCCAGCCGCAACCAGAAAACCGAAAGCAGAGGTGTGGCTCAAAGTGGTAGAGTGCTGTCCTTGAATAAATGAGCTCAGGGACTGTGCCCAGGCCCTGAGTTCATGTCCCATGACTGAATTCAGAATAACCTTCCCTAAAGTTACCCAAGTTGCACTCCAATTCAATAATGAGCATTTTTACAAAGCTTTTTACAAAATTAGTCACTGAGCTTTATTTTATTTTATTTTATTTTGGCCTGTCCTAGGGCTTGAACTCTGGGCCTGGGTGCTGTCCTTGAGCTTCTTTTGCTCAAGGCAAGTGCTCTACCATGTGAGCCACAGTGCTACTGCCACTGGCTTTTTTGAGTAATTTATTGGAGGTAAGAGTCTCACAGCCTGGGCTGGCTTCAAACTACAATCCTCAAATCTCAGCCTCCTGAGTAGCGAGGATTACAGTGCCTGGCGTCAACTAGCATTTCCTCACCTCTGTTTCCATTGTCTCCCCTCCCAAGGTATCTAATTTTAGTTCTTTTAGATGATTCTAATGATAGTTTCCTCAAATCTCTATACTATGCTTCTGTTAGTTCTGCTTAATTTTTCTGTATTAGTCTATTTATTGACTTTCCACTATGAAAGTTGAGAATTTCACTTGTGCTCTGTTACATAGTTATAGTTTTGTAAAGATTGATTTTCTGCATTAACGTTATTGTGAATATTGAAGTTGTAATCATTGCTTGTCATTCTAAGTTTTATACTTTTGATCCACATTCACCTCTCCCATCTTACAATTCATCAGGTCACAAATGCCTCTTTCACATTTCGGTCTACTTAAACATTGCCCCAGAATATCTACATATTTCTTCTAAAACTGTCCTTCTTAGTTATTGTTAATTCTCCTTGGAGTCTCTCTTACTTTCATGTGCCTAAGTGCTAAAATAGCCCTTTTTTAGAGGGTGGGCAGCAATGGGGTTTGAACTCGGTGCCTTGCACGTGCATAGCAGGTACTCTTCTACTTCACCCCTTTTGTGCTTTAGGTGTTTTTTAAAATTTAAATTAAAAACTTTTTTGCCTGGGTCAGCCTGGACTATGATCCTCCTGCCTACGCCTACCTGGGAACACTGGCACATGCCACCACACCCTAGTTGGGTGCCAGAGCCTTGGTAACTTTGATGAGATCAAAGCTTGGTATGAGATATATGGAAACATGACAACAAAACCCATTAGTTTGGGCTGGGAAGGTGGCTCAGTGGTAGAGCGCTTGCCTTGCATGCTCGAGGCCCTGGGTTCGATTCCTCAGCACCACATAAGCAAAAAGAAAAAAGCTGGAAGTGGCGCTGTGGCTCAAGTGGTAGAGAGCTAGCCTTGAGCTGAAGAACTGAGGGACAGCGCCCAGGCCCAGAGTTCAGGCCCCACTACCGGACCCAAAAAACAAAACAAAACTCATTAGTTTGTGCAATTAATATGACTAAATCATAGAACTAGCTAGTCTACTTAAGGTAATTCAATGTATTGTATATGTTTATGTATATGGTAAAGGTCTAATTCATGAACTATCTTACATAATGACATATTAGGTCCCTCAACCCAAAAATCATAATTACAGATGCATATCAAAAACTTAAGATTTGTGCTAAGTCTCGATAATTTTGTTATTTTTTTGGGGTGGAGGGGTCTGGTCGTGGGGTCTGAACTCTAGGCCTGGGCGCTGTCCCTCAGCCCTTCAGCTCAAGGCTAGCGCTCTACCGCTTGAGCCTCAGCGCCACTTCCAGCTTTTTTCTTGTTGCTTATGTGGTGCTGAGGAATGGAACCCAGGGCCTCATACATGCAAGGCAAAGTGTTTTACCACTGAGCCACCTTCCCAGCCCCAAATCTTGGTAATTTTAACAGAGGAAAGCTTTAGAATCTTTTTCTTTTTGTGCCAGTACTGGGGCTTGACCTCTTGAGTTTATGTTCAAGGTTGGCTTTTTTCTCATGGCTAGACCTCTATTACTTGAGCCATGCCTCTAGTCCTGGCCTTTTGCTGGTTAACTGCAGAGAACAGTCTTACAAATTTGTGTACCTGGGCAAGCACTGAACCATGATTTTTAATTCTCAGCCTCCTACATAGCTAGGCCTATATGTGTGAGCCACTGGCAGTCAGCTAAAAGAAAGCTTCTGAACAGTGAAGTGTAGCTAAGTTAACAATTTTTAAAAATATTATAAACATACTTGAAAAGAATAAAAATATGTTTTACCTTCTTTCCTTGGCTGACAAATGTCTCCGGCTCTGTGATTTACTGTCACTCTGTTAAAAACAAGGAAACACATTAACAGGACTAATAATTTTCAATAGGTAAAATTAAAATAAGAAAGCCAGGTGTCTTATCTCCCTTCAAGAGCACCCAAACTCTGCTATTGTGCTTCCTCCTTTCTCCTTGTCTGCTTGCTTACTTACTCAGTAAAGCTCAGCCAAGTTTTCTTACAACAACAACAACAACAACTAAAAGCCAGGCACTGTTGGCTCACACATGCAATCCTATCTAGGAGGCTGAGATCTGAGGAACTCCTTTATTTTATTTATTTATTTTTTGGGCTGATCAAGTGGGGCTTGAATTCAGGGCCTGGGCACTATCCTTGAGCTCTTTTGCTCAAAGGCTAGTAGTGTTCTACCACTATAAGCGTCTCAAAGATTTTCTTGCCAGGGCTGGCTTTGAACCACAATCCTCAGATCTCAGCCTCCTGAATAGCTAGATTACAGGCGTGAGCCACCAGCATGTGGCTACAAGACTGTTAACTCCAGTAGTCACCAGAAAACCAGAAGTGGGGATGTGGCTCAAACTGGTAGGCCACCAGCCTTGGGCAGAAGAGTTCAGGGGCAGTGCCCAAGCCCTGAGTTCAAGCCCCATGACTAACCAAAGAAAAAAAATTTTTTTTCAATTTAATTGAAAATTATTTTTTACTGGACTTTGAACTCAGGGCACTCACTTAGATTGCTTGCTTGTCTGGTGCTCTACCACTTGAGCCATGCCTCCAGCATTTTGCTGATTAATTGGAGATGGAGGATTTTTCTGCCTGGACTGGCTTTGAACGGCCATCCTACAGATCTCAGCCTCTTGAGTAACTAGAGAGTAGACATAGGCACTCAGTAAAAAAATTATTGGGAAAAACATTTTCACAAACTTCAAAAACAGCTTACTGAATTAGTAAATTCCTCTTTTGAAGCCAATTTCGGGAGGGACCTATGGAGAAAAAAGAATAAAAAAGAGCCTATTAGACTGTGAAAGACATTAATTTACAAGATATCAAAACATTCCCCCTATCATACTCTCACTTATAATCCTACTATCTTTTTTTTTTTTTTTTTTGTCGGTCGTGGGGCTTGAACTCTGGGCCTGGGCGCTGTCCCTCAGCTCTTCAGCTCAAGGCGAGCGCTCTACCACTTGAGCTACAGCGCCACTTCCAGTTTTCTGGTGGTTTATTGGAGATAGGAGTCTCACGGTCTCACGGTCTCTCCTGCCCGGGCTGGCTTTGAACCGCGATCCTCAGATCTCAGCCTCTTGAGTAGCTAGGATTACAGGCGTGAGCCAACCAGCGCCCGGCTAATTCTACTATCTTTAAAAAATAACAATAGAAAAAAATACAGTCTTGTCATCTTTTCAAATAGCATATACAACATGCCTACATGTATACTTTTAAGTAGGTACCATGTGTTGAAATATTATATGTCAGAATAGTATATGTCAGAAACTGCTAGATGTTTTACATGTGTAAAATCTTCACCAAAACTCTGTGAAGAGCATACTATGTTATTTTCACTTAGAAGGTACCTGAAGATTACATGTCATTGCATTAATGGCACAACCTAAGACACTGTCTGAACTTTAAGCCCCCCCCCCTTTTTTTTTTCTGTCAGTTGTGGGGCTTGAACTCAGGGCCTGAGCCCTGTCCCTGAGCTCTTTTACTCAAGGTTAGTGCTCTACCACTTTGAAAGCCACAGCGTCACCTCTGTTTTTTGAGTGGTTAGTTAGAGAGAGTCTCATAGGGACTTTTCTGCCTGGACTGGCTTTGAACCATGATCCTCAGATCTCAGCCTCCTGAGTAGCTGGGAAAATAGTATGAGCCACTGATGCCCAGCTAAGCTATTCTTTTTATTACCCTAATAATAATGCTTTTAAACTATAAATTCTTTAGCTGGTGATCAGTAACACACTAAAGACTAACCCTTTTTCCCCCTCCCCTCCTTGATCCCCAACATTCTTCCTGGATGGGATAGCCTTTGTTATGAGCATGAAGAACCTTTGCCTCTTTTCTGGTTGGTGTTTCTGGTTATTAGTTTATCTATTTTGTGGTGAGTCATGGAACCCAGGATTTTGCATTCTACCACTGAGCCAGCACTCCTAGTCTCTGCTTTTTTCTATTTTGACCTATTTTTGACACTTTGCTGTTACATATTTTTGTACCCTGATCCTGGGAATTTCTCTAAGGAGAGGCTCAAGCAACTGATTTAAATGAAACTTAAAACTTATTATTTTTATTTACCTTTGGGATTGAAGATGGGTTAAGTCAATGGTAGTATCAGGATAATATAATGTCTCTTCCTCTTCATCCTTCATTTCTTCAACAGACCCTTGATCTTTTTTCACTTCTTCAGATTCTCCTTCATCTTCAGAGCTTTCTTTTTCAATGAGCTCATTTTGTTCATCTCCATCACTCTGAATAGTAACAGCCTCTGGGTTACCCTGAGTCGTGAGCTCTGCATCTACTGGAGTTTCATGTAATTCCTCTCTGTCTTCACTGCTGCTGTCATCTCCTTCTGAACAATTACCAAAATGGAAGTCAGGATGGGGACCCCAACAAAGTTATGGTATTGACCTGAAAACTTCACAAAAACATTTCAGACTTTCCCAGAAGATCACCAGAATAATTTCTCATCTCCAAAAGGTACTACTCTGATTCAGACATCTGCACCATGAGCAGGATGGACTATGGGATCTCCAAGATCTTTCTCCCACAATAAATTTCTTATATACTGCTACCATTTGACAATGAAAACCATAGATTGCCTTTCTTAGGTAACTTTAGAAAGCAAGACAATAATTAAGTTGTATAAACTCTGCAGCTTTCCTAACATAAATGAAAGCTAACATAATGTTATATTATGCTATGTTATTAGCACATAACAAGTGCTCACGCTTTCACAAAAATACTACTACTTAGTAGTAATACTAGGATGAGCAAGCATCACAGGGTGAGGAAAACAAAAAAAAATAATGAATACAAAACATGTGTGACTTTGTATAGTGTGTGGGATATGGTGAGGAGCCATCTAATAGACTGCTAGCACTGTAGGTATAAATGAAACCACATATGATTCCTAAAAAGGAATGACCCAGGAGGGGGAAAAAACTGTAAAAGCAATTTAGCAAGTATTTTTGCTTTAGTTACCTCAGGTAAGCTGGTAAATGTATTCTAACTGTAGTTGCTCTCTACTTATAGCAAATATATAATTAAAAATAAAAAATCTCATATGAGAAACAGAATTTGTTATAGGTGTCCATCATTTCTAATTCCTCAATTCGAATTTAAATGCTAATTTATATACACCAGTCCATTTTTGCTAGATTTACACACTACCCACTAAATACTGAAATTGTATTAAACATACACTAAAGTATGCTAGTTATAAATCCTATCAAGTATTTTTTAAAAATTTTTTTTGGGTCCAGTCGTGGGGCCTGAACTCTGGGCCTGGGCACTGCCCCTCAGCTCTTCAGCTCAAGGCTAACACTCTACCACTTGAGCCACAGCACCACTTCCAGCTTTTTTTTCTGCTTATATGGTACTAAGGAATCGAACCCAGAGCCTCAAGCATACAAGGCAAGCGCTCCATCACTGAGCCACCTTCCCAGCCCCCCCACCTTTTTTTTTGAGGTCATGAGCTTGAACTCTGGGCCTGGGGCACTGTCCCTCAGTCTTCAGCTCAAGGCAAGAGCTCTACCACTTGAGCCACAGCACCACTTCCAGGTTTCTGGTGGTTAATTGGAGATAAGAGTCTCACAGACTTTCTTGCCTGGGCTGGCTTTGAATTGTGATCCTTAGATCTCAGCCTCCTTAGTAGCTAGGATTACAGGTGTGAGTCACCAGCACCCAGCCTATCAAGTACTTCTTAATTCATCATAATAAGTATGTTTAACATGTGAACTGACAACTAGTATCTTTTTTTTTTTGCCAGTTGTGGGACCTGAACTCTGGGCCTGGATGCTGTCCTTCAGCTCAAGCCTAGTGCTCTACCACTTGAGCCACAGCACCACTTCTGGCTTTTTCTTGCTTTTATGTGGCACCGAGGAATCGAACCCAGGGCCTCTTGCATGCAAGGCAAGCACTTTACCACTGAACCACCTTCCCAGCCCTAACTAGTATCTTTTTTTGGTGTGTGTATATGTGCCAGTCTTGGAGCTTGAACTCAGGGCCTGGGTCCTTAACCTTTTTGTGCTCCTGTCTAGTGCTCTTGCCACTTGAACCACAGCTCTACTTCCTGCTTTTTTTGTGATTACTTGGAATTAAAGAGTCTCATGGACTTTTCTGGCCAGGCTGGCTTTGAACCACCAATCTAAAATCTCAGGTAATGAGGACTATAAGGCATCAGCCACCAGTCCTTGCAGTATCTTTTTAAAATTTTTATTTTCCCCAAAGAGACATGATCATCTAAATAAGGATTTAGAAGTAAAACAGACAATAGAAAGCATCACAAGCCAATTTATTTGAATATGTGAACTACCTAGTTGGTCCATTTCTTCTGATATGAGTTCACTTGTGCAACTTGCCAGCGTCTCAGTGTCTTCATCCTGCACTCTGACTTTTCGTTCACCCCGATGTCTCCAAATACAAGTCTCATCTACCTACAGAAATAGTTATTTTCAGTGATAAAACCGTAAGGAAGATTTATAAGAACTAAAAAATAAAACAACCCAAGGAGATGAAAAGTACCTTAAAGAGGAAGCTAAAACCCATCATTAGATATGAAGGAGGAAGGAAATTCTTTTTTCCTACAAAAAATAATATATATCAGTGTTTCAAACATCAGTTCTCTTTTTCGCTTTTGTCTGAAAAATAATTGACACCAGTGATTATATCTATTTAGGAACCATAAACAGGAACAGTAATCTAAAAGAATAACATACATGTTTATTTTCATACTTTGGATTAGTCAGGCCCTGAGTTCAAGTCCCAGGACTTGCAAAAAAAAAAAAAAGATTATTCAGTGCCTGAGCACTGTACCTGAACTTACTTTATTCAAGGATAGCACTCTACCACTTGAACTACAGCGCCACTCAGAAGTGATACTGTTTTCTGTGTAAGTGGTACTGAGGAATTGAACCCAGGAATCCAGGGCTTCATGAATGTTAGGCAAGCACTCTACCACTAAACCACATTCCTAGCACCTGAATAATCTTTTTAATTTTATAAAAGGGTCAAGCTATACTTTCTTATTCTTATAACTAAACTATGTTAAAGTACATTTGTATCAGTGTATATGAAGATGAAATGATAATTGCTCAACTTGTCATTCCAAGTCAGAAAGCTCCTTATGTCCTAAGTTGATATGTTATTAAAGTAATCAGTTTTTGAGCCAATTTGTATATGGTATTCAGACCTGTCATCATAATTCACTGACAAGTTAGGAACATTTTCACATCAGGTCATTACCTCTTATCATAAAACTTCCTGTTGTCAAATATTCTCCAGTTGGTGCTGTTTTAGATACCTAAGAAACATAATAGTATGTTATATTGATTTCTTCTTCTTCTTTTTTTTTTTTGTCAGTCGTGGGCTTGAACTCTGGGCTTAAGCACTAACCCTGCACTCTTCAGCTCGAGGTGAGCACTCTATGGCTTGAGCTGCAGTACCACTTCCTGTTATGTTGATTTCTTAAGAAATTTTAGGCTGGGTACTGGTGGCTCATGCCTGTAATCTTAGCTACTCAGGAGGCTGACATATGAGAATTGCAGTTCAAAACCAGCCCAGGCAGGAAATTCTATGACATTCTTATCTCTAAGTAACCATAAGAAAACCAGAAGTAGCACATGGCTCAAGTGGTAGAGTATTAGCCTTGAGCTGAAAAGCTCAGGGACAGCGCCCAGGCCCAGAGTTCAAGCCCCACAAATGACAAAAAAAGAAAGAAATTTTAGGATTTTTTTTTCTACCAGAGTAGCCATATTTAAATAAGTAACATTATGGCTTCCTAACACTATCTACCCTATTATATACTTACAAATAGTTCTTATAACACTTGTTACTTGATATGAATGTTTTCCTACCACTTACATATAAGCTATCTATTCAAATATATTGTAAGGGCTGGGAGGGTGGCTCAGTGGTAGAGCGCTTGCCTTGCATGCCTGAGGCCCTGGGTTTGATTCCTCAGCACCACATAAGCAAAAAGAAAAAAGCCGGAAGTGGCGCTGTGGCTCAAGTGGTAGAGCGCTAGCCTTGAGCTGAAGAGCTGAGGGACAGCGCCCAGGCCCAGAGTTCAGGCCCCACGACCGGACCCCCCAAAAAAAAAAAAAATCAAATATATTGTAAATATAAAGGAAGGTAACAAATCCACTCCCCACACAACTAATGTAACATAATAAAATTTTGTTTGAACTCAGGGCTTGAACTCAGGGCCTGAGCATTGCCCCTGAGCTTTTTCAGCTTCATACTAGTGCGGTACTACTTGAGCTCATAGCTCTGCTTCCAGCTTTTTTGTGTTGATTAATTGGAGATAAGAGTCTCACAGACTTCTCTGCCTAGACTGGCTTTGAACTGCAATCCTCAGATCTCCGCCTCTTGAGTAGTTAAGATTATAGGTATGAGCCACCAGTGCCCAGTTTGTCCCTAAGCTTTTTTGCTCAAGGCTAGTGCTCTACTACTTGAGCTTATAATGCTACTTCTAGCTTTATGGTGGTTAAAGATAAGAGTCTCATGGACTTTTCCTGACTAGGCTGGCTTCAAACCTTCAAACTACTCAGCCTCTTGAGTAGTTAGGGGTTACAGGCATGAGCTAAGGATTTGTAGTTAATTTTTTTTGTTGTTGTTGGTTGTGCGGCTTGAACTCTTGGACGCTGTCCCTGAGCTCTTCAGCTCAAGGCAAGCGCTCTACAGCTTGAGCCACAGCACCCCTTTTGGTTTTCTAGTGGTTTATTGGAGATAAGAGTCTCAAGGCCTTTCCTGCCTGGGCTGGCTTTGTACTGTGATCCTCAGATCTCAGCCTCCTGAGTAGCTACAATTATAGGCACGAGCCACTGGTGCCCAGCTAAATTTTTTTTTTTAAGTAAATTTTATTAAGGTAGGCATTTTATCTTCCTTTTCCTTCTTTTCTTACATTTGTGGTACTCAGGACTGAACCAAGGCTTTGTACATGCTAGTTAACAGCTCTACAACTGAGCTACATCTCCTGCATTATTCTCATCTTCAAGATCTGACACAAAGTATAGCTGAGGCATGGCACAGATGGTAGAGTACCAGCCGATGAGCGTAAGTGCATTTGATTTCTGGTCTCAGGCAAAAACAAAAAGAAATTTTAAAAAGTAACCCAAGCTGGCATGGGTGACTTACACCTCTAATTCTAGCTACTCAGGAGGCTGAGATCTCAGGATTGTGGTTTGAAGCCAGCCCAGGCAAGAAAGTTCAGGAGACTCTTATCTCCACTTAACCACTAAAAAGCTAGAAATGAAGCTGTGGTTCAACTGGTAGAGTGCTAGCTTTGAGCACAAAAGCTTAGGGACAGTGCCCAGGCCTTGAGTTCAAGCCCCAGGAACAGTAAAAGAAATTTAAAAAATCATTAATAAATAAATGGATCATTCCTATTACCTGATGATGGTACACCCACCAAGCACTAGTGATAACTCGTGCATCCCAAGCAGCACTGTAGCAAAGTGCCATTGTGCCAGCTTCGGTCAAGGTCCGTGGAGGGATAGCTTCTCCTACAATAACAAGCTATGGTTCAGTACCAAAGTAAAAACATACTACTGTGTAGTAAGGGTAAATCATCTTAAGCAATAACACCTCATCTTATTTCAGTATTATAAGTCACTGCATATATGTTTAGCAAAGCTTTGATAAAAGCAGTTACTTTTAATAAAACGTATTTACATGGCAGGTTTTGAAATTGCTTACATAATAAAAACAAAATAAAACAAGTCATAGGCTGGGCGCCGTTGGCTCACGCCTGTAATACTCAGGAGGCTGAGATCTGAGGATCGTGGTTCAAAGCCAGCCCGGGCAGGAAACTCTGTGAGACTCTTATCTCCAATAAAAACCACTAGAAAACTGAAGTGGTGCGATGGCTCAAGCAGTAGAGTGCTCGCCTTGAGCTGAAGAGCACAGGGAAAGCACCAAGGCTCAGAGTTCAAGCCCCACGAAGGACCAAAAAAAAAAAAGTCATACATGATATATCTTTCCAAATAAGTAATTGAAAAAAATATGAAATTTGGAGACTTCCAGAATTAATTCAGATTACCTGAATCATCAAAAAGAAAAACATATTGATGTATTCCTACAGCTGGGATTCAATATTCTAATTGGGATGAAATTCATATAACATAAAATTATTTTTTGTGTGTCGGTCATAAAGCCTGAACTGTCCGTAACTGTTTTTGTCTTTTTGTTTTTGTCAGTCCTGGGGCTTGAACTCAGGGCCTGGGCACTGTCCCTGAGCTTCTTTTGCTTAAGGCTAGCCAGCACTCAACCACTTGAGCCACAGAGCCACTTCCAGCCTTTTCTGTTTATGTGGTACTAAGAATTGAACCCAGGGCTTCATGCATGCTAGGCAAGCACTCTACTACTAAGCTACATTCCCAGACCCCCTGTTTCTGATAAAGACTAGTGCTCTACCACTTGAGCCACAACTCTATTTCTGGCATTTTGGTAGTTAACTGGAGATAAGAGTTTCATGGATTTTCCTGACCAGGCTGGCTTCGAACCTGGATCCTCAGTTCTCAGGCTCCTGAATAGCTAGAATTATAGGAATGAGCCATCAAGTGCCCAGAGAAAATTCTTTAAAAAAAAAAAATGTACAGGGCTGGGGGTTTAGCCCAGCGGAAGGGCGCCCACCTGGCACGCGCAAGGCCCTGGGTTCGGTCCTCAGCCCTGGAAAAAAAAAACTACAAAAAAAAATGTACAAAATGTAGGGTTGGGGTACCCCAGTGGCAGAGCACCTGTTTAACTTGCCTATCATGAGTGAGGCTCTGTATTCAATACAGAGCATCACTACCACCAACAAAGGGGGGAGAAAAAAATGAAAAAAAAAAAAAGCTTCATATATATAATTATACCATTTTCATGGAATACCCTTTATTGTTATATTCTTATAGTAAAATATTTTAAGGAATGTAAATAATAATAAAAATATATTACCTGTTGGATTCTTAATTACACAGCTAGTAGCTCCATGAAGATCAGCATGTACATAAATGTCTCCTTAAATAAGGACAAATAACAAATGATACATTAAGTTCTACTTCTCCCCCTCATCTATATATATATGTATGTATATATGTACGTATACACACACACACACACACACACACACACACACACACACACACACACACACACACACACATACACACACACACACACACACACACACACGGATGGATGGATGTATTTTGGTGCCAGTCCTAAGACTTAAACTCTGGGCCAAAGTGCTGTCCCTGAGCTAGTATGTTCAAGGATAGCACTCTATCACATGAGCTAGAGCTCCACTTCTGGCTTTTTGTGGTTAACCGCAGAGAGTCTCATGGACTTTCCTACTGGCACCCAGCTTTTCTTCCCTCCTTTTAAGAAAGTCTATGTCACTGATCTTAAACTTCTGTGACTCTAGCAATTCTTCTGCCTTAGTTTCCTGGATATTTGTGGTTATAAACATGCTTTCAGTCCTATTTCTAAATGTGGAAAATGTTTAATAGAGTTTAGCACTGAAAAATTAAGCCTTTATAAGCTTGACTTGCACTAATTTTGAAGAATTAAAATCTATAATAAAGATTAAAAGTCCAATACTACAAATTAGCCTAATAATGTTACTTTAGCAATATTCACCCAGAATAGCAAAGCACATCTTTAGCAAGCCATAAATCAGTAAATATTTCTATTAAAAGGCAGGTGCCGGGGCTGGGAAGGTGGCTCAGTGGTAGAGCGCATGCCTTGCATGCCAGAGGCCCTGGGTTCCATTCCTCAGCACCACATAAGCAAAAAGAAAAAAGCCGGAAGTGGCGCTGTGGCTCAAGTGGTAGAGCGCTAGTCTTGAGCTGAAGAGCTGAGGGACAGTGCCCAGGCCCAGAGTTCAGGCCCCATGACCGGACTCAAAACAAATAAAAGGCAGGTGCCTTCCTGCTTGAAAAAAAAAAGGCAGGTGCCAGTGTCTCACACCTGAAATCCTAGGTACTTAGGAGGATACGATCTGGGAACTGTGGTTCATCAGCCCAGGCAGAAAGCTCTGTGAGATTCTTAATCTCCAATTAATCACCAAAAAGCCTGCAGTAGCACTATAGCTCAAGTGGTAGAATGCTGTCCTTGAGCAAAAAAAAGCTTAGGTACAGTGCCCAGGCCATATGTTCAAGTCCCAAGATGAGTACACAAAAAACAATAATTTCTATTAATTAATCCTGTCCAATTAATGAGCTTAAGATGAAAATAACTGTGTAATACTAAGATGACTGACCAAAATTTTTTATGATTTTCATCTTACCTACCTGGTGTCAAGTATCTTTTTACAATTATTTCATTCTGTTGTTGATCTCGTCCACCTATAATTAGATAGTTCTCTGAGCTAATGAACCATAGAAATTTCTCAAACCTACCAAATTGAAAGAAAACAAAATTAACATTTCTTTATAGATGTATAAATTTATGGTTTTTACAAATAAAACACAAAGCTATCATACTTATGTAGGTTAAGATAACTTAATTACTTTTAAAGCAACAAGCTAAATTTTACCAAGAATTGGAAGATAATAAGATGGTCTTAGAAGAAATTTAATTCTATGCTTAAAAAGTTTTATGCAATCTCTAGGCAAACAGGCACATGCCTGTAATACCAGTTACTGAGGAGGCAAAAAAGATTGAGATCTTAGACTGACCCTGGCAAAAGGCCCAGGCCTTACCTGAAAAATATCTAAAGCAAAATGAGTTGGCACATAGCTTGAGTGGTATAGTTCTTAGTTCTTGCCTAACAAAAGCAAGTCCCTGACTTCAATACTCTGATATCATTAAAAGAGTAATTATCTGTTTACTCCATATAGATGTTTCTTAAATTCAAGGTTATCTTAAATAATAAGTTATACTAAACAAAGTATAAAATGTCAAGTGGTCCTTAGGTTTACCTTGCTTTCTTCCTTTTTTTTTAAAATTAATTTTTGTCGGTTGTGGGGCCTGAACTCTGGGCCTAGACTCTCCTTCAGCTCTTCAGCTCAAGACTAGTGTTGTACCCCTTGAGCCACAGCGCCACTTCTGGCTTTGTCTGTGTATGTGGTGCTGAGGAATCGAACCCAGAGCCTCATGCATGTGAGGCAAGCACTCTACCACTGAGCCACCTTCCCAGCCCGCTTTCTTCCTCTCCCCGCCCACCCCTTGTTACCTCCCTTTCAATAGATACTGAAAAGGTTTTGAACCACTGGTAAAATAGAAAAGTGTGCCAGGAATGTGGTACATATTTTTATAAACCTAATAATCCCAATACTAGGGAAATTGAGGCAGGATTATCTCAGATCTCAATTTCCAGGCAAGCCAGGTTTACCTAGTAAATTCAAGGCCAGGATGGTGAACACGCCAAGATATTATCTCACTAAGACAGACTGAGGTGGGCACCAGTGGCTCACACTTGTAATCCTAGCTACTCAGGAGGCTGAGATCTGAGGATAGTAGTTCAAAGCCGGCTGGGGCAGGAAAGTCCTTGAGACTCAATTAACAACCAGAAAACTGAAAGTAGAGGTGTGGCTCAAAGTGGTAAGAGTGCTGTCCTTGAATAAATGAGCTCAGGGACTGTGCCCAGGCCCTGAGTTCAAGTCCCATGACTGAAAATAAAAGCTCAGCGATAACACCCAGGCCCTGAGTTCTAGCCTTAGTAGCAGCACACATGCATATACACACAGAATTAAAAAAAAAAAAAAAAAAAGAACAAGGCAGATATTAACTGTAGGGAAGACCAAAAAAATGAGCAAGGAAGGAAAACAATACTAGATGGCTCAGCAATGATTACAACTTAAATATTCACAATAATGTTAATGCAGAAAATCAATCTTTACAAAACTATAACTATGTAACAGAGCACAAGTGAAATTCTCAACTTTCATAGTGGAAAGTCAATAAATAGACTAATACAGAAAAATGAAGCAGAACTAACAGAAGCACAGTATAGAGATTTGAAGAAACTATCATTAGAATCATCTAAAAGAACTAAAATTAGATACCTTGGGAGGGGAGACAATGGAAACAGGTGAAGAAATGCTAGGTGACGCCAGGCACTGGTGGGTCACACCTGTAATCCTCGCTACTCAGGAGGCTGAGATTTGAGGACTGTAGTTTGAAACCAGCCCAGGCTGGTTAAACTACTCAAAAAAGCCGGTGGCAGTAGCACTGTGGCTCACATGGTAGAGCACTTGCCTTGAGCAAAAGACAGCACCCAGGCCCAGAGTTCAAGCCCTAGGACAGGCCAAAATAAAATAAAATAAAGCTCAGTGACTAATTTTGTAAAAATGCTTGACTTTCTCAATAATGAGCATGTATAATTCTGATAAAAACAAAAACTAAATATGTAAAGCTGGGCACAAGTGGCTCACATATGTAATCCTAGTTACTTAGGAGGCTGAGTTCTAAGGATCCATGTTCGAAGCCAGCCCAGGCAGAGAAGTATCTGAGACTCTGATCTCCAATTAACCATCTAAAAATCCAGAAGTAGAAGCCAAGCGTTGGGGGTTCACGTCTGTAACCCTAGCTATTCAGGAGGCTGAGATCTGAGGTTCATGATTCAAAGCCAGCCCACGAAAGGTAAGTTCGTGAGATTCTTATCTCCAATAAACAACTCAGAAAAAGCTGGAAGTGGTGCTGTGGTAGAGCACTAGCACTGAGCAAAAGAAGCTCAGAGACAGTTCCAGTGCATATGCTCTGAGTTCAAGACCATGACTGGCACAAGAAAAAAAAAGTTTAATATAGAAAGTACAGAACACTTACCAGTATACTTTTCTTGCTTTTTGAATAGAGGTAACTGTTTGAACTTCTTTTAAGGTTTGCTTTGTTTTTTTTTCTGCTGATTTGAATGCCTGTTTACAAGAATTTAAAAATAATCATAGTATACATTTAAACAACACTAAAGTAAATAATGAGACAAAGTTTTTAGCATGTCACAAAATGGCAACTATCTACACAAACACATACACAAATTATACATATTTCAAAGCAAAGAATAAAAGATTTTTGCTTTAAATATAAAAAAAATTGAAGACAAAAATTTACTTTATACAAATATTTGCTCAAGATCAACAAATTAAGAACTGCCTGGTGCCAAGCGCCAGTGGCTCATGTCAATAATCCTAGCTACTTAGAATGTGGAGGACACAGTTTAAAAGTAGCATGGGCAGGAAAGCCTGTGATACTCTTAATCTCCAATTAACCATCAAAAAGCTAGAACTAGAGCTGTGGCTCAAGTGGTAAAGTCCTATCCTTGAACACAAAAGTTAAAGTATGGCATTCAGCCCTGAGTTCAAGCCCCATTACTGGAACAAAACTAAAATGTCTGCCTGTTAATTTAGTAGATGATGGGACCTATCATGTAGCAGGTTTAAGGTTAGATACTGGGGACAGAACAGTGAACAACAAAGCTCCCTCTCCCACTTCACAAGGTCTAGAAAAGAGACGGTTACTAAGCATATAAGCATCCAAATATATCATATGCTAAGTGCTTCTAAGAAAGTGATGAGAGTATAGCAAGTATAACAAAGAAAACAAGTTTATGCTGGGTTATGGCCTCTCTAAGGAAACAGCATTTAGCAGAAGTCTGAAGAACTGATGAAGTTACTGGACAGGAATAAGAAAAACATTATAAGCAGAAAGAAAGACCAGCAAGTAGGGATCACAGAGCAAAAAGGTCAAGGAATGGGATCGAAGCTGGGCATGGTGATACGCACCTGTAATCCCAGCACACAGGAGACAGAAGTACTAGTTAATTACTATAATATTAAGTTTCTTCTGTGGTAGAATTCCTCTAAGTATCTTCTATAGGGCTGTTTATTTATTTTTTCTTCTTTTTGTCAGTGGCGCCTGAACTCTGGGCCTGGGTGCTGTCGCTCAGCTCTTCAGCTCAAGGCTAGTGCTCTACCACTTGAGCCACAGTGCCACTTCCGGCTTTTTCTGCTTATGTGGTACAGAGGAATCGAACCCAGGGCCTCATTAAAGCAAGGCAAGCACTCTACCACTGAGTGACCTGTTTTAACAGTCACAAATTCCTTTTGTTTTTTTTAGCTTTTGTTTTTCATGGGAGGCTTTTATTTCTCCCTCAATTTGAGGTACACTAGTCTAGGTTGATCATTGTTATTTTTTGCACATTCAATTGCATCCTTCCATGCCCTCCTTGCCTTTAGTTTGACTATTCTCTTCCAGGCAATATTTCAGAAATTAGGATGAACTAGAACAAAACAGACAAGATCTTATTTTTATGCACTATACATCCTAGAGAAATAACAAATAAATGCTTCAATAGAGGGCTGGGAATGTGGCTTAGTGGTAGAGTGCTTTCCTAACATGCATGAAGCCCTGGTTTCAATTCCTCATTACCATATAAACAGAAAAAGCCAGAAGTGGCACTGGGGCTCAAGTGGTAGAGTGCTAGCCTTGAGCAAAAGAAACTCAGGGACAGAGCCCATGCTCAGAGTTCAAGCCCCAAGTTCAGCCCAAAAGAAAATGAAGAAAAAGAAAAACAGTAAAGAGATTGAGGACATTAAGTAGGTATGTTAATGGATGAATGGAGGGATCAAACCTTCCAATTGTGGGCTGGGAAGGTGGCTCAGTGGTAGAGCACTTGCCTTGCATGCATGAGGCCCTGGGTTCGATTCCTCAGCACCACATAAGCAAAAAGAAAAAAGCCAGAAGTGGCGCTGTGGCTCAAGTGGTAGAGCGCTAGCCTTGAGCTGAAGAGCTGAGGGACAGCGCCCAGGCCCAGAGTTCAGGCCCCACAACCGGACCCAAAAACAAAACAAAAAAACAAAACAAAAAAAACCTTCCAATTGTGTGTGTGTGCACACATGCACACGTGTGTACACATGTGGCAGTCCTAGGATTTGAACTCAGGTCCTGGATGCTGTCTGAACTGCAGCTTCTTTTTTTGGTGGTTGTTGTTGGTTGTGGGGCTTGAACTCAGGGCCTGGGCGCTGTCCCTGGGCTTTTTTTTTCATTCAAGGCTAGAACTCTACCACTTTGAGCCACAGTGCTACTTCTGACTTTTTTCTGACTGTAGATACTTTCCTGTCCAGTCTGGCTTCCAATCATGATCCTCAGATCCCAGCCTCCTGAGTAGCTAGGATTACAGATGTAAGCTACTTATGCCTGCTCTGACCTTCTTTTGCTCAGGGTAGTGCTCTACCACTTGAGCCAAAGCTCTACTTCTGGGATTTTGGTGGTTAATTAGAGACTCACAGACTTTCCTGTTCCAGTTGGCTTTGAACTGCCATCCTCAGACCTCAGCCTGAGTAGCTAGGATTACAAGTGTGAGGTGGTGCCCAGCTTTAAACCTACAAATTTTGAAGGGAGAGCAATCCAGGTAGGAAGAGTAGTAAGTGCAAAGGCCCTAAGAGGGCAGCAGTACACCACGGTTTGAAGATCCTAGTGTGCTAAGAAAATAGGAAGAGGAACACAGTGACGGAATGTGAGGGAAGAGACAACAGGGGCTCTGGCAGGTCATGGGAAGACTCTGAATTGATAGGAAGCAACTGCAAGACTTTTGAGGAGAGGACAGAATGATGGAGTTTGTTTTTCATTTAAAAGCATCACTATAGTTGCTATGTGGCAGTGAGCCACAGTACAAAACAGACAGGAGAACAATCCAGGAAGAGACTAGTAACAGCCATGTAAACACAGAAATGAGGGCCTAACTAATGGAAATCATGAGATGTTGCCTGATTCCAGTTATACTTTAAGAAAGCAAGACATTTATTGACAAATAGGATATGACTTTTTTTTTAAAGGCTGGGGCTGGAGACATGGCTCAGTTGGTAGAATGCCAGCCAATGAGTGAAAGTGTCGGGTACCAAGTTTGAGTCCAGGTCTCAGACTTAAAAAAGTAAAAGAAAGGGAAAAAAAGGGACTTCCCAGGCTACCTCCAACATTTGAGCAAAGAAGTAAAGGGGTAAATAGGGAAAAGCAGGTTTGAAGAGAAATAAATACTGAAAGTAAACACATTTAAAGCAATATTAAATCTGAAAAGTATTTCTGAACTAAAAAAAATCTTAAACAAAAATAGTTTAGGTAATTAAAACAGCCAACACCAATTAACATTCACTCTAATAAATTCTAAATACCTTCTCAGCAGCTTCAACAGTCTTTTGTGTTTTTTTAGCAGCGTATCTCTTGTGATCATAATACCTAAAAATATACAGATGTCTTAAAAATTTTAAGTAAAATCATTATTCTTTAATTTTCCATTTATTTCCAAATTTCAGGCTCACAAATCATACAGAACAAAGTTGCATAATGCACAAAACTAAAACTGTGTGTGTGCGCACACACACATGTGTGCATGCCAGTCATGAAGCTTGACCTCAGGGCCCAGGTGCTATTTCTGAGCTTCTTTTGCTCAAGGCTAGTTCTCTACCACTTCAACTAGAGCTGCACTTCCAGCATTTTGGGGAGTAGTTTACTGGAGATAAGAGTCTCACAGACCTCCTGCCCAGGCTGGCTTTAAACCCCAATCCTCAGATCTCAGCCTCCAGAGTAGCTAGGATTACAGTGTGAGCCATTGGAGCCTAGCTAAACATTTGAAAAATAATAATTTTCACCAAAAGAATTTTATACAGCTAAAATACTTATTCTTTTTGTTTTTATTCTTTTTAAATTTAGGAAGTAACATTAATGGCTTTACTTATTTTAGGAATTTGTTTTATTTATATATTCTTATATATTATTAATTAATTTTGTAGTGCCAGAATCAAACCAAGAGCCTTATGCATGCTAGGCAAATATTAACATCCATAACACTGATCTTTTATACTGATTGGCTGCAGATAATACCCATGGACTTACTTTTTGGCATTGGCATATGCTGACAAGCTGAGATCAACATCAACAAGCAGTGGCTTATTTTTCTGAAGTTTCTGAAGCTGTTTATTCTTTTGCTTTTTCTTTTTCCCTTTTGGTGGTTCAGTTTCACTTGTCTCAACACTGATGTCTCCATCAACATTATCATCTTCCTCCTCTGACAACAAGTATGGATTTCTATTAAAAATATTCAATAGTATTTCACTAATGTCAATCATACTTTTTATTTCAATTATTTTCTCAATGACATAATTGGCTTACAGTATCTTAAAAGCGTCATTTATTTTAGAATAAATTCTTATTTCATGAGCATGTTTCTAAATATAAAGAAAAAATTTTAATGTAAACACGGTGAACAATAAAATAACAAAACAGAGGCAAGCACTAATTGCTTAATGAAGAATCAAACTTACCTTAGCAGCATTGTAACATGATTTGTTTGTAGTTTTAATTCTTTGATTGCATTTGCAACAGGGTCACCTTGAGCTTGGGCTTCTTTTACAATTACTCCAATTTCTGTCCAATCTATCTGGTTTGCTAAAGCACTTCGAACTACCTGAATGGCTCTGTCAACAATCTGTAGATTCATTTCTATGAGCTCTCCTTTCAGTTTGTCTATTTCCTTCAGAAACAAACCAAACACATTTGTTATAATGCCAGCTAAGTTATAGTTTTTGGAAAAGCATCTGAAAAAGCTAAACACAATACCTGAGCCTGTTGAAGAGCTTCTAATCGGTTTTCATGATCCTTTCGAACATTATCTAATTTCTTCAGGGCTTGCTTTTCCTTTTAGTGACAAAAGAGTTTTAAAAATTACATTTCTCCAACCTCATGGACTTTTTCTCCTTTACTCCTAAGACTTACTCCCAGTGCCCTTTACCTGGCTCGATGTTGTCATCTATCTAAGTTTTCTCACAATCCACTCTTCCAATCTAACTCACTAGAAAATGCTTCACACTCCAAAATGAGCTTTCCTGTCTACTTACCATCCATGTCTACATAGGAAAATATTACAATTACAGGTTTAAGTATATGTAAGATACGAGACTAATTTTCTTGGCATTATTCAAACACTCATAAGTAAAGTTTGCTAGAATAAATATATAGATAGATAAATATTGCATTGCTAGAGGTCAAATACAAGGCTTCACACAATAAGAAAGTACTCTATTACTTGCGCTGTCCCTGCGCTCTTCAGCTCAAGGCGAGCACTCTACTGCTTGAGCCACAGCACCACTTCCGGTTTTCTAGTGGTTTATTGGTGATGAGAGTCTCACGGACTTTCCTGCCTGGGCTGGCTTTAAACCGTGATCCTCAGATCTCAGCCTCATGAATAGCTAGGATTATAGGCATGAGCCACCAGCATCCGGAGAAAATACTCTATTACTAAAGTACATCTCATGTCCAGAATGTATTCTTAAGAGGCACAAATTATAAAATATCTTTTTATTTTCATACTTTATTTCTTAGCATTATTTCCAGAGCATTCTCCCCTAGACTAATAGTACAAAGGTTCATGATAGTTATTTGACCGCTTATACTATACAATTAACATTTCAAAGTTATTGATTTGAGGACTGGTTTTTAACAATATTACTGGGATTTGAACACAAGGCCTTGCTTGCACTTGCTAGGTGGGTACTCTACAACTTGAGCCCTGCCCCTCACTCCTTTTGCTATACTTTTAAAATAAGGTATCATGTTTACTCTTTTTTTTTTTTTGGTTGGTTGTGGGGCTTGAACCCTGGGCCCGAGCTCTGTCCTTCAGCTCAAGGTTAGCGCTCTACCACTTGAGCTACAGTTCCACTTTCAGTTTTCTAGTGGTTAATTGGAGATAAGAGTCTCACAGACTTTCCTGCCCAGGCTGGCTTTGAACCACGATCCTCAGATCTCAGCCTCCTGAGTAGCTAGGATTACAGGCATGAGCCACCGGTGCCTGGCTCATGTTTATTCTTAAATTAATCCTCAAGCAAGCTTGGATTATGATCCTTCTATTTAGGAGGCATGAACCATTATAGCCAACTTTTATTGGTTGAGAAGACCACATCAACTTTTGGTGACTGGCCTCAAATTACGAACTCCTCAAACTTTGACTTCCCAGTAGCTAGGCCTATAGGCATGAACCACTGCGCCCACACAGATATATTTTTTAACAAACTAAAATAGCACCACAGGCTGGCGCTAGTGGCTCATGTCTTACAATCCTAGTTTATTTAAGAGATTGAGATCTGAGGATTGCAGTTCGAAGCTAGCCTGAGCAGAAAAGTCCGTGAGACTCTTATCTCCAATAAATTGCTCAGATAAAGCTGGACATGGCACTGTGGCTCAAGAAGTAGGATGTTACTAGCCTTGAGCAAAAGAAGCTCAGGGACAGCATCCAGGTCCTGAGTTAAAACCCCAGGACCAGCACAAAACAACAATAATAACAACAACAACAAGAAACAAAATAAAAATAGGAGTATGATTCAAGTTGTAAGAATGCTGACTAAAGCAGGGTGCTGGTGGCTCACACCTGTAATCCTAACTACTTAGGACGGTGAAATTCCAGGATCATAGTTTGAAGCCTGCCAGGGTAGAAAAATCTGCGACACTCTTTTTTTTTTTTTTTTTTTGGGTCCGGTCGTGGGGCCTGAACTCTGGGCCTGGGCGCTGTCCCTCAGCTCTTCAGCTCAAGGCTAGCACTCTACCACTTGAGCCACAGTGCCACTTCCGGCTTTTTACTTATGTGGTGCTGAGGAATCGAACCCAGGGCCTCGAGCATGCAAGGCAAGCGCTCTACCACTGAGCCACCTTCCCAGCCCCATCTGCGACACTCTTATCTCTAATTAACTACTATCAAATAAGTGAAAGTGGAGGTGTGGCTCAACTCATAAAACATGAGCCTTGAGGAAAAAAAGCTCAGAGATAGCACCCTTACCCTGAGTTGAAGCCCCAGGATGGGCATAAAACATAACAAATCATGTAAGGACTTATCTTTGCATTGCATTTTCCTTTTAGAGAATATCTGATAGATGGAGTAAATGAGGATATGTTTTTCAACCCTGAAACCTCCCCTGGCATTATTATAGGACAAGTGGTCCCCGTACCACTTCCTATGCTACTTCTCTGACAGGCAGCTCATTCCCAAATGAAAGCATCTTCTACACGCCAAACTATTCTATGACTAGCTGGTTTAACATAAGTATGTTAAATAATATTGTACCTGTTGTAAAGCTTTCAAATCAATTTTCTGACCTTCTATCTTCGAATAGAATTCATCCACGGCCTTATTTAAAACAAACAAACAAACAAAAAACTAGCTGTAAAAAAAATAAAGTATAACTTCTATTTCAATTTGCATACCCAGAATTTTAGTCTGTTTTCTATCTTGATGGCATTCAGAGAACTCATTCAAATTACCAGCAAATGTGTGTTTGTGTGTGTGTGTGTATAAGAATACTACCAAGAATCAAAGTTCAAGTCATCTTTGGTCTTTCATCTTCAAGTAAAGTTGCCTCAATTATTCTAAAAGCTGTATTTGTGACACTGATTTTTAATGCTCAGATTCATGGTGACTGTAAGCCAAAAGTGTTTTCAATTTCTCAATCAAAGTAAGCTGATATTGATATTAAATACTGATATTAAGCTGATACTAACTCATAAAAGTCTTATCATGTTAACTGATCAAGAAACTGAACTAGAAAACTCACCTTGTCAAATGATTCAAATTCTATATATGGACATTGTGAATGTTGAGAAAACAAGAATGGATGAAACTCCTCATACCTGTAAGACATATTTATTAATTCACTCAAGAACATTAATAAATATCCAAAGTTCTGGGCGCTGGTGGCTCACACCTGTAATCCTACTCAGGAGGCTCAGATCTGAGGATCACGGTTCAAAGCCAGCCTGAGCAGGAAAGTCCATGAGACTCTTATCTCCAATAAACAACCAGAAAACCGGAAGTGGCGCCATGGCTCAAGCAGTAGAGCACTAGCCTTGAGCTGAAGAGTGCAGGGACAGCACCCAAGCCCAGAGTTCAAGCCCCATGACCCACAAAAAAATAAAACAAAACTCCCCAAACATCCAAAGCAAAGTGACCCACACCTATATACTTACGTGAGTATGTCTTCAACTGGTTTATTCACTTCCAGGCTTGGCTTGATTTCTCTCTTCTGAATGATATATCCCTACAAAAATCCCGTATTAAAACCATTTCTATTCATAATTAACAAAAATTTACCTTTTATGATTGATACTAATTTTATTCACTTTTTGTAAATAAAGATGTATTTTGAATAGAAAAAAACATTCCTAGAGTATAAGTATGATTTAAAAAATATCACTAGGGGCTGGGCACCGGTGGCTCATGCCTGTAATCCTAGCTATTCAGGAGGCTGAGATCTGAGGATAACAGTTCAAAGCCAGCCCGGGCAGGAAAAGTTGGTGAGACTCTTATCTCTAATAAACCACTCAGAAAATCGGAAGTGGCACTGTGGTTCAAGTGGTAGAGCGCTAGCCTTGAGGTGAAGAGCTGAGAGACAGTGCCCAGGCCGAGTTCAAGCCCTGGGACCAACAACAACAACAAAAAATGTTACTAGGAGAGGGTTTGTATATTATCCTCTGATTGTGAACACTCAGTGTTCATAAATCAATATGTGCTCAATGTCTAAAACCAATTGAAGAAGAAATCTTTCAGTCAGATGTTGTGGCATAAAACCATAATCCCAGCACTCAGGAGGCTTCGCCAGAAGAATTGAGAATTTCAGGCCAGCCTTCATAACAAAACTACATCTAAATATAAACAAATAAAATTAACCCTTATCTCTTTGACTAAGTATTCTCCATAAAAAAATAATAGAATGAAAAATAATTCCAAACAAACTAAAAATTAAAAATAACAGAAAAAGAGGTGGAGTATAGTACAGTAGTGGAGTATACGATTAGCATATTCAAAGCCCTGAGTTTAGTCTCCGGCACCACCAAACAAAACAAGACAAAATGAAACCGTACCCTGGGATGAGCACATCACATAAGCATATCCATTTTCTAAATTAAAATAAATGGACATATACTGACCCCTTAATGAACGTTAATTTCTGAAACTCCAAATACATAAAACCAAAAAATATAAAGTAAGTACACATGGTATTACCTTTCCACTGAAGTTTGATGTTGTTTTCATATAGTCCTCTGCTTTCTGCAGACAAACAAGTACTTTTTCAATATCTAATGAAGGAATAAGAAGAGGAACAAAATGTTGATAAACTGTTAAATAACTATGCAAAAAAGTAAATTCACAGAATTTATACACACATATTTATATTATATTATATATCTTTCTGGGCTTGTTTCTGGATTCTTTATTCCCCCATTCCTTCTCCAAACACTATTATAATTACTATAACCTCCTAAAAATAATCTGTAAAAAGGCTATATTAAGTAGTAATAAACTTAATTTTCAGAGTTTTCCTGGACATTTTCCTATTATTTATTTATTTTTTGGTTGGTCGTGGGGCTTGAATTCTGGGCCTGGGCACTGTCCCTCAGCTCTTCAGCTCAAGGTAAGCACTCTACCACTTAAGTCATAGTGCCACTTCCAGTTTTCTGGTGGTTAATTGGATAGAAGTCACATGGACTTTACTGCCCAGGTTGGCTTTGAACAGCGATTCTCACATCTCAGCCTCCTGAGTAGCTAGGATTATAGGCGTGAGCCACCAGAGCCCAGTTCCACATGCTTTTGTAACAGACAAATATCGGATTCACTTCATAAAAATAAACACCACAACCACAACACCTGATGTCATTTTGGAGAGATTACAATTAGTATATTTCAGAAATTGAAACATGAAGTTTGTATTTTTAAATTCACACAAAAACCTTAGATAATGAAAATTATTCCTAAGCCTTAAAACAGATATGTAAATCCAAAATATAAGCATCAAGAATGAATTTTCAAATATTTTATCAAACAATCTACTACAGGGGCTGGGAAGGTGGCTCAGGTGGTAGAGCGCTAGCCTTGAGCTGAAGAGCTGAGGGACAGTGCCCAGGCCCAGAGTTCAGGCCCCACGACTGGACCCAAAAAACAAAAAACAAAACAAAAAAACAATCTATTACAAGTCAAAATTTGTCATACCAAAATTCCATTTTCCGTTTACTTTCTCTTCATATTATTCATCCTACTCTGGCAGTCAAATTAGGTTTCCTAAGTAATTACAAATGCCTAATGCAATCATACAGCCCTACCACAGAACTACAGAAATTCAAGTAAGTTAATATTACTGTAGAAGCACCTCCACACTCTAAGGAACTTTACTGTACTCCTCAATAGCCTGATGGTCCCAAGATCAATAACCAGGACAAATATATAGGAAATGCAAAGGGAAAACATTCTAAACATGAAAGGTTATCAAGGTAGGTCAAAAGACTTAATTGCCTATTATTAAGGATAAATCTCTACACTAGAGCGGGAATCTAGGAATACCCATATATATCTATAGTATACTCAGGCTAAATGTTTGGAAGTCTAGAATACACTTCTTACTTAATAAAAATAATTTACACTTTTTTCTAAAAGAAAATAAATAGGGTACTTTTTAGTGGTATAGTACTTACCTGCCATGTGTGAAGCCTCGAGTTTGATTCTCAGTAGTACAATTTTTTTTCAGAGTGGGTGGGAGAGTTGGAGGTGCTAGTCCTGACCTACACACTGTCCCTGAGCATTTTTTTTAATTCAAGGGTAGTGATCTCTCAGTTGAGCCATAGCTACTCACGTTTTTTTGGTAGTTAATTGGAGATAAAAGCCTAATGGATGTTCCTGGCTTCAAACCACAATCCTCAGATCTCAGCCTTTTGAGTAGCTAAGACTACAGGTGTGAGCCATCCTTATCCACTTGCAAACTTTTTTTTCCAAAAAAAAAAAGTAAAGCAAACATGAAAATGGACAAAACCTGAATCATGCAAACATACCTTTACTTTCAAGTTTTTCATCCACTTTGACATTGCCAGAGAATCCATTTTCTATAAGACAGTGCTCAATGAGAGCTGACCCATAGGCTATAAAAGCAGAATGTATTATTTTTAGTATTTTCCTATAAAACTTAACATTCAAAATACAATACAAATTTAGATCCCAACATGAATGATTTTATTCATAAAAGCAGCCAGTGAAAAAACAAGTTTACTTATATGTTGAAATTTTATTGTAATTAACTATTCGAAGTAATGACAGAACTTGAAATTACAAAAACTTAAATTACAAGAACTTAATGGCACTCAGTCACATACAAAAATAAGATAAACAATGACCATAAGGGATTAATTCTGGGGCTGGGAAGGTGGCTCAGTGGTAGAGCACTTGCCTTGCATGCATGAGGTCCTGGGTTCGATTCCTCAGCACCACATAAGCAAAAAAGAAAAAAGCTGGAAGTGGTGCTATGGCTCAAATGGTAGAGTGCTAGCCTTGAGCTGAAGAGCTGAGGAACAGCACCCAGGCCCAGAGTTCAGGCCCCACGACCGGACCCAAAAAAAAAAAAAAGGGATTAACTCCTAGAATGCAAGGTTGGTTTGGAATCCAAACATTGGCTAACCTCTCAATTAAAAATGAGCAAAAGACCTAAACAGACACTCCTCAAAAGACACACAACTGGGCTGGGAAGGTGGCTCAGTGGTAAAGCATGCATGAGGCCCTGGGTTCGACTCCTTGGCACCACATAAGCAGAAAAAAAAAGCTGGAAGTGGCGTTGTGGCTCAAGTGGTAGAGCGCTAGCCTTGAGCTGAAGAGCTGAGGGACAGTGCCCAGGCCCAAAGTTCAGGCCCCACTACCGGACCCAAGGGAAAAAAAAAAAAAAGACACCCAACTGGCCAATGGATACATGAAAAAACGTGGAACTTCACCAAATATATGGAAATCAAACTACATTAAGATATTACCTTACTCCAGTAGAAATGGCTATTATCAAAAGACTAAGAATAACAAGGATGCAGAGGGAAACTTTAAACACTTTGGATGGGAATTCATATTAGTATAGCCATTGTGTGCTAATGGAAGTTCCTCAAAAAAATAATAGTCAGGCTGGGAAGGTAGCTCAGTGGTAAAATGCTTGCCTCTCATGCATGAGGCCCTGGGTTCAATTCCTCAGCACCACATAAACAGAAAAAGCCAGAAATGGTGCTGTGACTTAAGTGATAGAGTGCTAGCCTTGAACTGAAGAACTCCTCAATGCCCAGGCATAGAGTTCAAACCCCACAACAACAAAAAAATTAACAGTCAACTGGGCATGATGATATATGCCTATCATTTCAGCACTTGGGAGGCAGAAGCAAGAGGATTGTATGTTTGAGGCCAGCCTGGGTTACGTAGTAAGACCCTGTCTCCTAACAACAAACAAGCAAACAAAATAAGATTGAGAATGTAGTTCAGTTGTGAAACACTTGTCTAGCATGTGTAAGGTCCTGGTTTCATTCCCCAGAACCAGAGGAAAACATACACATGAGGACAAAGCTGGATAATTCTAAAGATAACCTTTTAGTGTATTTTTATTTCATAAAGGAAGAATAACTCCCTAATTCTCAGTAATTAATACTATCTGCCCGCCCCCTATCTGCTCTAAATTCCTTAAAGTAGGGTTAAATTATGATCTTCTCATGTATAAAAGCTTTTGGTGTCAAAGTGCCCTGGCAGATACCAGAAGTCCTGATGCCCATCAACTAAAAAAGAGAAAACATGTGGAACAGTAATCTCTCTCTCAGGGCAATGACCACTGTGCACTTGCCTAGCATACACAAGGCCCTGGGTTTTATTTTCAGCATTGTGAAACAAAATAGAATCTCTCCTTGAAAATAAACTCTTACATATTCAAAAGTTCTTATTAAATTCCTTGCTCAATTTTTTTTTTACCAGAACTACAAAAGATTTAGATATATTCCTGAAAGCACATTATCTTGCAAACGTTTCATTGCTACATAGGATTACTCACGCAGTAATGGGTTAAGAACTCTCTTCAGTAGTTCACCCTTAGGTGCCCTGGCTATTACTTCAGTCAATCTGTGAAACAAAACAGACACACTTCTTACCGGAAATTCAGTAAAACTTAACAGCAGTGTTTACACCCACACAACTGTACTTTCAACTGCCTCCATTCTTTACAATACTCTGAAATGTAAGGTCTGCCCTGAGAAGGTGAGGCAGACTCCTCCCTCCTCTTGGTTAAGTTTCCACCCAGTACCTGTGTCACCTAGGTAACTGACACACCTGGCCAGTCACCTCCTCTTCTTCCTCCTCCCAGGTCACATCTTAGGCTGCCCTGCCCCCTCATGCCTCCCATCCAACAGGGGGAGGGTCCCAGGCCCTGAGGTCATATCTGAACCTTCCCTCACCAGGCCGCACCTTCTCCCTGCCCATTCCCTACTTAAACCCAGGCCAGAGCTTGCCCACCCCTCGCCTGCCCCTTTGGGCCATGTGGTCTGCACCATGCAAGGCAAGGGCTAGCAGTTAGGTAAAATAAACTTCTCTTCCTGCCTGAATACTGCTTGGCACTCTCTTTATCGGCTACCTAATTAAACCTACCTACCTAATTACCTACCATGAAATACAACAGAAATCAGCTTTTCTTTTTTTTTTTCTTTTGATAGCACTGGGGTTTGAACTTAGGAACTTGCATTAATTTTTTTTTTCTGTAGGTAAGAAAAAAAATGAATGATAGCAGTAATTTATTCAAATAAAATACTGAAGGTTCCTGAATAGGAGCCTGAGAGTTGAATCTAGGTTTCAAAAGAAAAAATCAGTATTTTTTTCAACTAAGTCATACTGTTCATCATCAGTATGCTCATATAAATAATGTCAGAGATACTTTTATATAGAAGTTAAATGTCATTTGTAAAGCTTCATGCTGTATGGGAACACCAAAAATAGTATTGCTTAATAGAGCATTGAAGAAGAATACATGGGGGTCTTGTAGCTTCCTGTGGTCCCTATCAGCAGATCATCAGCATTCCCTGAGAACTGACTAGAAATGCAAATTCCTGCCTCCTGCACTAGGAATTAACAAGTATGAGACAACCTATATTTTAACAAGCCCTCCAAGTGATTCTAATGAACGGATATACTGAGAGCTTTGCATATTCAGAAATAAGACTTCTTTGACCCTTTACAACAGTATGAAATGAGTTGATACCTTTCCAAAGTAAGCAAAGGTTCTGCAGCTCTAGCATGATCAACTGGATAGCGTTCACGAACAGCAAATTTTACATCATCTGCCTCATCAGTTCGAAACCTTAGGATATTTAAAATTAGGTACTCATAATCTGTAAGAACAATATTTCCCTGCAATAGAGTAAAACACAATTTAATGCTTTTCCAAATTAATCTTAAGACCTCTCAAAAAATTGAAAAATGATGCAGTTTCTTAACCTACAGTTTACAAAATAAATTTTACAAAAAATGTCTAAACAATGTTTCATAGACTTCCTCGGTACACACTACAAAATAGGATAAACAAATTCTCAAGACTCTCAAGTTCCAAACAGTGAAGGAATCTACAGTACATTTTTTTAGGGAGGGAGAGCAGTACTGAGGTTTGAATTCAGGCTCTTATGTTTGCTGATATGCAGGCACTGCACCACTTGAACCACATTTCCAGCACTTTTTTCTTGCTTTTAGTCTAAGACCAGCAAATAGCTAGGATGGCAGGTGTACACCACTGCAGCCAACTTTTGATTGAGATGGGTGGGGCTGGTCTCAGGCTGGCCTCAAATCATGATTTCCCAATCTCCATCTCCTGAGTACCTATGATCACAAGGCATGAACCACTGGTGTCCAGAATTAATCCAGAACAACTTCAAACTCATTTTCTGATGATACTGCACAAATACTAACAGAAACACAGTAACCCAGTAACATTAAATGACCACCAACTAAGCTTACTCTTATTTACCTGAAGTAGGTAGCAAAGATTGGCTTAAGGGAAACAAGAGGCTGGTGAGGTGGCACACATAGAACTCCAGAGGGAGAGACAGGGCAATCTTGAGTTTAAGGCCAATCTAGGCTATATAGCAAGAGCTTAAGTCTCACATAAAAAAAAAAAAAAAAAGCACCAGGCACCTGTGTGGCTCATGCCTGTAATCCTAGCTACCCAGAAGGCTGAGAGCTGAGGATCACAGTTCCAAGCCAGACCAAGCCAAAAAAGTCTAAAGTGAAGCTGTGGCTCAATTGGTAAAGCTCTAGCCTTGAGTAAAAAAGTTCAGGAACAGCAGCCAGGTCCTGAGTTCAAGCTTCAGGACTAGCACAAAAAGAGCCAGGTGCCAGTGGCTCACGTCTGTAATCCTAGCTACTCAGGAAGCTGAGATCTGAGGATCATGGTTCAAAACCAGCTCAGGCAGGAAAGTCTGTGAGACTCATCTCCAATAAACCACCAGAAAACCGGAAGTGGCACTGTGGCTCAAGTGGTAGAGCGCTACCTTGAGCCGAAGAGCTAAGGGACAGTGCCCAGGCCCAGAGTTCAAGCCCCTGACTGACCAAAAAAAAAAAGATAGATATAGAGATAGAAATGAAAGAGAGAGAGAGAGAGAGAGAGAGAGAGAACATAAACTTCAGAAGCCAAGCAAGAAACTTTATTTTTTCCTGCAATTTGTCTTTGAATAACAATAATTATGTGGCAAGAACAATAAAGGTAGATTTATCTAAAGGGAAGTGAGGGCTGGGAAGGTGGCTCAGTGGTAGAGTGCTTGCCTTGCATGCTTGAGGCCCTGGGTTCGATTCCTCAGCACCACATAAGCAAAAAGAAAAAAGCCGGAAGTGGCGCTGTGGCTCAAGTGGTAGAGCGCTGGCCTTGAGCTGAAGAGCTGAGGGACAGCGTCCAGGCCCAGAGTTCAGGCCCACGACTGGACCAAAAAAATAAATAAATAAAGGGAAGTGAGTCTTCTCTTCATGTATAGCCTAATGAAATAGCTCAGTGAAGTAAAAAGCTACCACTTAAAAATGTACACAGATACTTGTGAGATTCTTTCCTCAAGACTTGATCAACTGTAGATACAGCACACCTTAAAATTGTAGAAATGAAAGAGAAAAGATCAAACCCTAGTATATAGAAAGGAAAACAGTCTCCAAGGTCTTTTTGTAAGCATCCACCAATATACCCCTAAAGTACATTATTTATTTTTATTATTTTCTTTTTATATCTTTAATATCTACCTCAACTTTGTCACTAGTTGGACTTCTGTAACCTAGCCAGTATACATAACTACTGCTCAGACCCTTAAATGGAAAGGCCTCAATGCTAATAAAGTATATTAGACCAGAAGAACTATGTAAATGAAGAAACCCTGGTGAAGTATGAGCAAAGCCTGTTGTTCAATTAATAGACTGCATTAACACTAGTTAGTTTTGATAAATATCATGTACGGTATTATCATTAACAGACCCTAGGTAAAGGGTAGACAGAACCATAATTTTTGCAACTCTTTTATAAGTCTAAAATTATCTCTGAAGAAAACAGGTTGCTAGACTTTTTCCAATAATAAGGATTAAAATAATAGCTATCTATAACTACTAATTACTTACGTCTTGCTAATAAAAGTTATGTAATAAAAAGTTAAAAATAATAAAGTTTACAGAAATTATGCTATGGAAGAGTCTTTACATCTTCTGATGAGTATTTTATGAGGTTTATGAGTATTTTTTTTTTTTTTTTTGGGGGGGGTCCGGTCGTGGGGCTTGAACTCTGGGCCTGGGCACTGTCCCTCAGCTCTTCAGCTCAAGGCTAGCACTCTACCACTTGAGCCACAGCACCACTTCCGGCTTTTTTCTTTTTGCTTATGTGGTGCTAAGGAATCGAACCCAGGGCCTCAGGCATGCAAGGCAAGCGCTCTACCACTGAGCCACCTTCCCAGCCCCCAGTATTTTCTTTTTCTTTTGTTGGTTGTGGGGTTTGAACTCTGGGCTTAGGCGCTGTTGGTGCGCTCTTCAACTCAAGGCCAGCACTCTACCGCTTAAGCCACAGCACCACTTCCAGTTTTCTAGTGGTTTATTGGAGATAAGAGTCTCACGGAGTTTCCTGCATGGGCTGGCTTTGAACCATGATCCTCAGATCTCAGCCTCCTGAGTAGCTGGATAACAGGCGTGAGCCACAGGTGCCTGGCGAGTATTTTATTTTTCTTAATCACATAATGCTCATAAAATACCCATATGAAAAGTTTTGCTTGCCATATATGATGGCGCACATTTGTGCTGCTGTCTCAAAAGAAAAAAGGACTGCTGAATTAAGAGCAGACAATGACAAGTGTTGGGAAGAATGTGGAGGTAAGGAATGCTGAGCAACATCAAAGAAAATAACATGTGCTGCATATGATGAACGTCTCAAACACAGGCTAAAATGAAAGCAGACCCCAACAAAAGGTGTAAACCTCAATTTAACTTACCCTATCATAGAGCTCAATGATTAAGTGGTAAGCAGCTTCATCACTTCCAAATTGAAAATCTACAATTCTATCCACACCAAGTTGTTTTGCACAGACTAATCTCCGACTCTTCAAATGTTTTCGGCACTAGCAAGAAACAAGAAAAAGGCACTTATGTAGCAAAAGTAAATTCTTAGCCATTTGATACTTCTTTACTATCTAGAATTAACTGGTAGTAAATAACACAGTATACTCATTTAAAACAATTGTAAATAATAATCAGAGGAAAAATATTTTATTCTAAATAACTAATTGCCAACCCTAAGAAAATATTTTATATTCAATTAAAAAAAAACATTGACAGGGGCTGGGAATGTGGCTTAGTGATATAGCTTGCCAAGCATGCATGAAACCCTGGGGTCAATTCTTCAGCACTATATGAAAAGAAAAAGACTGAAGGGACACTATGGTTTAAGTAGTAGAGTGCTAGCCTTTAGCAAAAGAAGCTCAAGGACAGTGCCCAAGCCCTGAGTTCAAGCCCTAGGACTGGAAAACAAACAAACAAACAGTGATGGAAGCTGGGCGCCAGTGGTTCATGCCTATAATCCTAGCTACTCAGAAGGCTGCGATCTGAGGATCCCAATTTGAACCCAGCTGGGGCAGAAAAGTTTGTGAGACTCTTAGCTCCAATAAACTACTCAGAAAAAGCTGGAAGTGGCCCTGTGGCTCAAGTGTAGAGCCTTAGCCTTGAGCACAAAGAGGCTCAAGGACAGTGCCCAGACCCTGAGTTCAAGCCCCATGACCAAAAATAAAGAAAAAAAAATTGATGGACCTATAAGGAAATATGCTATTACTTTTTTCTTTTTTTTGTACCAATATTTTGCTTTTTTTTTTTTTTTTGTCAGTTCTGGGGCCTGAACTCTGGGCCTGGGCACTTTCCCTCAGTTCTTCAGCTGTAGACTAGTGCTCTACCACTTGAGCCTCAGCCCCACTTCCGGCTTTTTCTGCTTGTGTGGTGCTGAGGAATTGAACCAAGGGCCTCATGCATGCAAGGCAAGCACTCTACCACTGAGCCACCTCCCAGCCCCTATACCAATATTTTGGATCGAACTCAGGCCCTGGGCTTTTTCCATCAAGACTAGTATTCTACCATTTCAGCCACTTCCATCTTTTTGGTAGTTAATTAGAAATACGAGTCTCCTGAACTTTCCTGCTTGGTGGCTTGAAACTATGATCCTCAAATCTCAGTCTCCTGAGCAGCTAGAATTATAGGCATGAATCAACAGTACCAGGCTAATGCTGTTACTTTATACCAATACTAAAGAAATACTTTGTTCATGTTTCAAATGACCTCAACACTGTAACTATTTTTGATGTTGTTGCTTCTGTGGACCCAACTTAGGGTTACATACTTGCTAATTAAGCATTCCACCATTTAGCTAATTCTCAACCCCTTCATTCCTTGTTTTTTGTTTTTTTGGGTTTTTTTTTTAAGTCCCTTCTCACCAGTTTTAGGTATCCATATGCCCTTTAGAGTGCTTCGACTGTGTTCCAAATTAAATTATTTCTATTGACCTTCCACTTCAAAATGGATCAAGAGCTTATGATACTCAGTAAATTGGACCTCATAATTTTAGTTAACCAAAGCTCTCATTTTATGTACTTATATATTTAAGTAGATATAGATTTGGGGGGGGGGGGACTGGGAAGGTGGCTTAGTGGTAGAGTGCTTGCCTCCCATGCATGAGGCCCTGAGTTCAATTCCTCAGCAACCCATAAGCAGAAAAAGCCAGAAGTGGTGCTGTGGCTCAAATGGTAGAGCGCTCGCCTTGAGCTGAAGAGCTGGGGGAAAGTGCCCAGGCCCACAACCAACGGGAGAAAAAAAAAAAAAGGTATTTTTAATTTTCTAGAATAAACAATATTCCCTTCCTTAATTCAATGGCTTTAAGTGTGGCCTACATTAACTTGTATTTGAACACTGATATACATATATATTATCTTTGAATCCTTGCGGGGAACAAACTCACAATCATTCCTTCCTGAGTTCCCAAGCAGTATTTATTGAAGAAAAATAAAGTTAAAATGAAGATAAAAAGCATCCTTGAAAGGACAAAAGCCCATACCATAGGAAGATGAAGAAGAGATTGTTTACCAGAGTGAATATAGATGTATATAGGGTACATATGGAAGCTTGGTGAAAACAATCTTCTGCTCAGGACCACCAAGGTATAGTTGGCATTGCCAAATTTAAAAAAAGCAAATATCACTAGATCTGAACAATAAGAAACAATCTTGCATGTGGCAAAAACAAAGGAGGAGCTATACTACAGTGGAGAAAAATCAGTATCACTGTAGATCTTTCCACACAGACACTGAATGCAAGCAAAGCCTGAAATAGTACCATCCAAGCCCTGAGAACCAATAACTGCCAACTCAGACTGGTATTATCCAGTGAAGCTAGTGTTCACATTTGATGGACGAACTAAATTTTTTAATAATAAAGAAAAACTGAATGACTTCAGAAACAATAAGACAGCATACAAAGAATATTAAGAATGGGATTAGAATCTTAAGAAAACAATCAAGATTGGGGAATTTACATCAGACAGATATCACTAGAAGACCCACTTAGTAAGCATAGGAGGAAAGGAAAGGAAAAAAACAGGAAAGCAGGAAAATGACAGGAAACACAATGCACCTCTCTATAATAACTATAAATATTAATGGATTCCATTCACCAATCAAAAGAGGCTGGATCAGAAAACAAGATCCATCCATTTGTTGTCTTCAAGAGCCAAAGATAAACCAAGTGAAGGGATGGAGCAAGATCTACCATGCAAATGCTCCCAGCAAGAAGGCAGGAGTCGCCATCCTGATATCTGACAAAATGAACTTTTCATTAAAATCAATACAAAAAAAGGATACTACATATTAATACAGGGAACAGTCCAAGAAGAGGATATCACCATTATCAGTTTATACTCTCTAAACACTGTTGCACCCAAATACATTAAGCAAATACTCTCTGACTTACAGAAAAAAAGAGATTCAAATACAATGCTAGGAGACTTTAATACTCAGCTCTCACCAAAGGACAGGTCTACCAACCAGAGGATTGACAAAGAAGCCTCTGAATTAAATGATGCCATATCTCAAGTGGACTTAACTGACATCTAGAGTTTTCCAACCAACAACAATCCAGTGCACATTCTTCTCAGCAGCTCATGAACTTTCTCCAAAATAGGTCATATCATAGTTTATACAAAGAATTCAAATAAATACAAGAGCATCGACATAATCCCTTGTATCCCATCCAACCAACCATAGTGGAATCTAGCTAATTCTCAGTAACAAAGCATACTGTAAAAATTACTCTCATACATGGAAATTAAACAGCATACTTCTGAACAACACCTGGGTCACAGAAGAAATTAAACAAGAAATTTAAAAAATTCCTACAATTCAATGAAAATGAATATACATCATAAAGAAACCTGTGGGACACGGCAAAAGCAGTCCTGAGGGGAAAATTTATTGCTCTCAGTGCACACATCAAGGAAATACACAGAACAAGTAAATAATTTCATAATGCAACTAAAACTGCTAAAAAAGCAAGAAAATATTGAACCCAAAGTTACTAGATGGAGCAAGATAACCAAAATGAGCTGAAATTAATGAGATAGAGACAAAGAAAAGTATAAATAAAATTAATAAAACAAAAAGCTGTTTTGTTTTTTTTTAAGAATCAGTAAAATTGACAGACCTTTGGCAAGATTAACTTAAAAAAGAAGAGAGGAGACCCAAATCAATAAGATCAGGGCCGCCATAGAAAAAATTACAACATCCAGGATATCCAAACAATTAAAAAAAACAATTTCCAGAATCTATACTCACTAAGGAGAATCTAGCAGAAATGGATGAATTTTAGGGAAATACAAAGTGCCCAAATTGAACCAAGAAGAAATAAATCAATTAAAAAAGCCAATAACTTAAAATGAGATAGAGGAAGCAATCAGAAGTCTTCCAACAAGGAAGCCCAGATGGATTCCCTACAGAATTCAAGAAGACCTTTAGACCTTCCAAGAAATAAAAACAGAGGGAGCAATCCCAAATTCATTCTATGAAGCAATATCACACCCATCCCCAAACCAAGCAAAGACCCAACAAAAAAAGAGAACTACAGACCAATCTCCTTGATGAATACAGATGCAAAGCTCCTCAATAAAATTTTAGCCAACAGAATCCAGTACCATATCAAAAAAATCATACATTATGATCAAGTAGGCTTCATCCTAGAGATGCAGGGATGGCTTAACATATGTAAATCAATTGATGTAATCCATTACATTAACAGACCCAAGGCCAAGAACCACAAGATTATCTCCATTGACATGGAAAAGGCTCTTGATAAAATACAACATCCATTCATGTTAAAAGCATTGGAGAAAATAGGAATAGAAGGAACATTCCTTAAAACAATAAAAGCCATATATGACAGACCAACAGCCAATACTATAAATGGAGAAAAACTACAATCAATTCTCCTAAAATCAGGAACAAGGCAAAGATGCCCAGTCTCCCCTCTTCTCTTCAATATAGTTCTGAATGCTGAGCCAGACCAATAAGGCAAGAAAAGGACATTAAAGGGATCTGCATAGGAAAGGAAGACATTAAACTATCCCTATTTGCAGATGACATATTATACCTTAACGATCCCAAAAACTTCACTCCCAAACTCCTAGAGCTTATAAACCACTTCGGCAAAGTAGCAGGATACAAAATTAACCCACAAAAATCAGTTGCCTTTCTGTATACCAACAATGTATAAGCAGAAAGGGAAATCAAGTAAACAACCCCATTCACAATAACCTCAAAAAAAAAATGTCTAGGAACTAACCTAACCAAAGATGTAAAGGAACTATTTAGTGAAAACTATAAAAGCCTAAAGAAAGAAATCAAAGAGGACACCAGGAAATGGAAAGACCTTCCCTATTCTTGGATACGCAGAATTAATATAGTGAAAATGGCCATACTGCCAAAAATGATATGCAAATTCAATGCAATTCCCATAGAAATCCCAATGATGTTCCTTACTTAAATAGAGAAAACAATCCAAAAACTCATGTGGAACAAAAGACCTAGAAAAGCCAAAGCAATTCTAGGCAAAAGAAACAACATGGGAGGAATCATGATACCAGATTTCAAGCTCTACTATAGAGCCATAATAACAAAGACAGTTTGGTATTGGCCCCAAAACAGACCGGAAGACCAATGGAACAGATTAGAAGATCCAGGAGTAAAATCACATACCAATAGTCAGCTGATACTTGACAAAGGAGCCAAAGACATACAGTAGAAGAAGCATAGCCTCTTCAACTACTGGTGCTGGGAAAACTGGGCAGACACAGGCAGAAAACCAAAAGTGGACCCTAGCCTGTCACCATGCACTAACACCAACTCAAAATGGATGAAAGACCTTAACATCAAACCTGATATTCTGAAACTACTGCAGGACAGAGTAGGAGAGGCACTTGAACTTACAGGCACAGGCAGGAACTTCCTGAAGAGTCCTAGGATCACAACAAATTAGAGACTAGACAAATGGGACTACCTTAAAATAAAAAATTTCTGCACAGCTAAAGACATAGCTACCAAACTAGAAAGACACACAACTAATATTTAAAAATATTAAAAAAATAAAAAAACAAAAATAAGTAAAAATATTTACCAGCAATATCTCAGACAAGGGCCTAATATCCATTATATACAGGGAACACAAGAAACTAATCCCGCCCAAATCTAACCAATCATTAAATGGGCAAGGGAGCTAAAGAGAGACTTCTCAGAAGAAGAGATAAAAATGGCTAAGAGCCAGGCACTGGTGGCTCATGCTTGTAATCCTAGCTACGCAAGAGGCTGAGATCTGAGGATCATGGTTCAAAACCATAATCAAAGTCCATGAGACTCTTATCCCCAAAAACCAATAGAAAACCAGAAGTAGAGCTGTGGCTCAAGTGTAGAGTGCTCACCTTGAGCTGAAGAGCGCAGGGACAGCGCCCAGGCCCAGAGTTCAAGCCCCACGACCGACCCCCCCCCCCAAAAAAAAAAGGTACAAAATAATGGAATTCACAGGGAAATGGATGCAACTAGAAAAAAATCATTTTGAATGAGGTAAGCCAAGAGCAGAGCAGATAGACAAATGGCACATGGTCTCCCTGATATGTGGATGGTTTATCCAAAATGCAAGGTGATATGACAAAGTAAAACAGGACTCAAGAAACAAAGGACCTCACACTCAATTTGTTGTATCATTTCTAAATGACTCCATGTTCCTGACCACACATATATATCTGAGGAAAGCTAGGAGGAGGACATAGAATCAGAGGGAAACGGGAAAATATACAATAGAAGGGCCCATCAGCTGCACTGGATATTGATGAAATAGAACTAAGCAACTCAGGGGCTGGGAAGGTGGCTCAGTAGTAGAGCGCTTGCGTTGCATGCATGAGGCCCTGGGTTTGATTCCTCAGCACCACATAAGCAAAAAAGAAAAAAAGCCAGAAATGGCACTGTGGCTCAAGTGGTAGAGCGCTAGCCTTGAGCTGAAGAGCTGAGGGACAGTGGCCCAGGCCCAGAGTTCAGGCCCCATGACCGGACACAAAAAAAAAAAAAAAAAAAGAACTAAGCAACTCAAGGGCAACAATGGGAAGGAGAGAATGAGAGGGAAAGAGGGAACAGCTTACACTAAGCAAAAGGAAAGAAATGTACATATCACCCGATGTGGAAGAAATTGTTGTATTGTCAAAGCTTAAAGAATTCACAAACATTATAGACCATGGTAATGACCTTTTTACTTGTGCAGGTTAAAATGTGTTGTGACTTTAACTAAGTATCACAATCTCATAATACTGTGAAATTTATGTGATCATTCAATTCTCAATAAAAAATTATTAAACAAAGAAATAAATAACATTAAAAAATTGTGTTAGAAAGTGTGGTAGGTGTCCCACCACAGATGAATGGATCCAAAAATTGTGGTATCTATACACAATGGAATATTATGCAGCCATTAGAAAGGACAAAATAGTGGCATTTGCAGGGAAATGGATGGAGCTAGAAGAAATCATGTTGAGTGAGGTAAGCCAAGAACAAAGAGACAAACAGCACACGGTCTCCCTGGTAAGTGGATGTTAAATTCAAAACGTTAGGTGATATGACAAAATTAACAGGACTTAAGAAACAAAGGACTTCCACTCATCTGGTCGAATCACTAATAAATAACCCTCTTCTGCTGATCACATGTATGGTATATATGTGCACACCAGAGGGAAACCAGGAGGACGACACAGAACTAAAGAGAATCAGGGAAAAACATACACCAGCCAGCAGGATCCATCAGCTGCACTGGACATTGATCAAAATGAACTAAGCAACTCAATGGGAGGGATGGGAGGGAGGGAACAAGTGGGAAAGAGGGAACAGCTGATGCTATGCAAAAACAAAAGAAATGTACATACCACCCAATGTGGAAGAAATAACTGTATTGCAAAGCTCATAAAACTTATAGACCATGATAGACAATTTGCTCCATGAAAGTTAGAATGTGTTTGTGACTTTAACTAAGCATCACTATCCCACAATACTGTGAAATTTGGGAAATTATGTAACCACTTAATCACAATAAAAAATTTGGAAAAACAAAAAAGAAAGTGTTGTAGGAAGAAGTGACATTGTCCAAAAGGAAATGCACTCATTACCTGATTTATGTAACTGCAACCCCTCTGTACATCACCTTTATAACAATAAAATTTAAAATTAAAAAGAGAAAAAAAATAAAATAAACAAATAAAGCAAATCTCCTGGTCTGTAAAAATAACAATCACAGTGGTTCCACATGTTGGGTATGACCAGCCTACGTCATGTAATGGTAATAATAGTACTTCATTCATAAAGTACTTCAACAGTGCTTATTAATGTCTGTTCTATTAGAGGAAATTTTCTACATATTTAGATTGACATATATTCCTAACTCAGAGTTCTAAGACTTACTCAGTTATTTATCTTTTGGGTCCTAAGATTTGAACTCAGGTACTCAGGCAAGCACTCTTACCACTGAGCCAAGCTTCTAGCCCTGCTTTTTTGCTGTTTATTTTTTAGATAGTATGGTTCTGCTGCCTTCTTGGGCATGTGTCTGGAGGTCCACTCATGTATGCCTCCTGTGTAGTAATTAGGATAACAAGTATGCATCACCATTAACTAGCTAAAAAATCAGGCTAGGACTGGGAACGTTGGGTCAGTGGCAGAGTGCTTGCCTAGCATGCACAAAGCCCTGGGTTCTATTCCTCAGTACCACATAAACTGAAAAAGTCAGAAGTGGCGCTGTGGCTCAAGTGGTAGAGTGCTAGCCTTGAGCAAAACAAGCTCAGGGACAGTGCTCAGACCCTGAGTTCAAGCCTCAGACCTGACAAAATATAAAAAATAAAAAATAAGGCTAGCCAGGTGCTGGTGGCTCATGCCTATAATCCTAGCTACTAAGGAGGCTGAGATCTCAGAATCATGGTTCTAAGCCAGCCCAGGCAAGAAAGTTTGTGAGATTCTAATCTCCAATGAAACCACTAGAAAACCAAAAGTAGAGCTATGGCTCAAAGTGGTAGAGCACTAGCCTTGAGTAAAAAAACTCAAGGACAGGAGCTGGGAAGGTGGCTCAGTGGTAGAGCGCTTGCCTTGCATGCCTGAGGTCCTGGGTTCGATTCCTCAGCACCACATAAGCAAAAAGAAAAAAGCTGGAAGTGGTGCTGTGGTTCAAGTGGTAGAGCGCTAGCCTTGAGCTGAAGAGCTGAGGGACAGCGCCCAGGCCAAGAGTTCAGGCCCCACGACTGGACCAAAAAAAAAAAAAAAACTCAAGGACAGTGTCCAGGCCTGAGTTCAAGCCCCAGGACTGACAACAAAATAAAACAAAAAAATCAGGCTATATATCTCAAGGCCTTGAGTTCCAGCCCTAGTACTGACACCAAAAAAAAAAAAAAGTTTGAGGAGAGAAAATGAGGTTTAAAAAGTTAGGGCAGCTGGGTACCATGCCTATAATCCTAGCTACTGTGTCAGCTAAAATCTAAGGATTGAGGTTTGAAGCCAGCCTCCGGTGACTCTGATCTCCAATTAACTAGCAAAAAGCTGGAAATGGAGGCATGATTCATGTGATAGAGTTCTAGCCTTGTGCAAAAAAAGCCAGGCAAGAATGCAAGGCCTCAGGTCCAAGCGCGCGCGCACACACACACACACGCACGCACACAAAACGTAAACTAAAAAATTTAATGTATCTCTAGTATAGAATTGTTTTGGTTGGAGCAAGATTATACTTAAGTGATTATATGGTTGAACGTGAGAAAAGCCTGAATCAGAACAGAACAAAAGGCTTGGAGCATAAGAGGGTATGAAAGATAATAGGGAAAAATCAATAAAACCTATTTTGTTCCTTCACCCACCACCAATCAACTGCTCTCTCTACCTTTGTTATATGTTCCTTATTTCACAAGGGTGGGGAAAAAATTTAAAAATTCAATTGTTAGGGCTGGGTTAGCATGCATGCAGCCCTGGGATCAATTCCTCAGTACCGCCTACACAGAAAAAGCTAGAAGTGGCACTGTGGCTAGAGTGGTAGAGTGCTAGCCTTGAGTAAAAGCAGCTCAGGGACAGTGCTCAGACCCCTGAATTCAAGCCCAGGACTAGCAAAAAAAAAAAAAAAAAAATTACCTTCGTATTCTGTCTTCTTCACCGTATGTATGGTGTATTCAAGTATACATCTTTGGATATGCATCTTTGGGAGGGTACAGAACTTGAGGGAAAAACAGTGAAAAAGTACAACAGTGGAACTCACTGTACATTAATGAAAGTGAACTATACAATTTGTGAATGGAGATGGGAGGGAGGGACTGGGAGAAAATGAGGGAACAGAAGGGAACACTATGAAAGGAAATGTACTCATTACCTGACTACATCATCTCTATAATAATAAATTAATAAAATATTACCTTCATGGCAAAACTAGAAGGCATCATGTTCTTTGGCCACTCAAATTCTGTTGTGTGAATTCGTATGCCAGATTCAAGCAAAAGTGTAGCTTTGAAGTCTGGTCTGTAAAAGAAGAAAAGTCAAATTTCTCTTTAGGGAATTTGCCAAAGCTCACGCTGTGAAACTACTTAAGTGTAAACGAACAAAAAGATCAGTTTCATACTGCCCAAAGATAAAACCTACAAAATGTTCTTACTTTTGCAGACGAATAAGATATGTCTTATTATCCACATCATAGACGTTGTTTACTCTCATTCCAAGCAAGCTGCCAAGACAAAAGAAACAGGTAATAAAGCACGGTAATAGCTTAAAACAAAACTACACTCCATGTATTGAGGCTGCAATAGGATAAAATAGGAGGAGAATAGGAAGGTCAGTAGGCATTCTGCCCACAAATTAAATATCACCATTTAGCCCCCGAAGTGGTCCACTGGCCCACAACACCACACATAAACAATGCCTTGGGCATCTTCTGTAAGGACTCGGGCCTTTGGGGGGGGGGGGGGGGAGGAAAGATATTATAAAGATGTAATGAAATCAACATTTTACAGAGAGGGGATGGGGAGAGTAAAGGAGGATATGAATGTGACCACGTTGGCAGGACTCAATGAACACAAACAAGCCCAGAATAACGATCTCGGACCAAATCCGCTCACGGCCGCTAAACCTGCAAGGCTCCCTTCCCCGGGGGGGGGGGGGGGGGGGGGGAGAGTGGATGCTCGCTGAAGCGACCGGGTCCGCACCCCCCAACACCCACAGAACGACCCTGTCCAGCGTCGGCTGGGAAGCACCGCGGCGGCAGGCCCGGGCGGCTCGGGCTGACCAGGCCACAGCCGCGCTTGGGGTCCGAGTGAGACCGGCGACAGCGGAGAGGGCGGGAGTGGGGCAGGGCTGCCGGGATCTCTTGGGGGGGGGGGGATCCCCGGGTCTCTCGGGCGTTCCTCAGGGGCATCTTGGGGGTGCCCAGGGTCTGTCGTTGGTCCCCATGGTTTTTCAGGCGCCAACCCCACAACATCGCTCCCTCTCCCCCCCCCACCCCCCTCCCCAGGCCTACCCAGGCCCACAGAGCAGCACTGGGAAGAAGGCCAGCAGCACCAGGCTGCCCTCAGTTTCCCCTTGGCGGCCCCGGGCCTCTCGCCTCCATGACTCCTCGCAAGAACCAGGTCACGGTCAGGACCGTACCTAGCGTTCAGCTCCGCGAGGACCGCGCGGAGGTCCACGGTGCTAAAGCGAGTCTTCATGGCGAGGGCGATCGCCACCACCGCGGTCCGTTCACTGCTGGTCAGACTCAAGGCCGCCGCTCTTCCGCGCACGCGCACGCGGCAGAGCCCTACGGCAGCCGGGAAGACCCAACAGTCCTTCAAGGGAGAGTGTAGGCGTCGTCCGCCGGAAGATCTCACGGATCAAAAGTGTTCACCGAGTCCTTTTCCATCGCGCTAAAACAATTCGGTAGAAAGACAGACTGTTTGGAAACTGCACCCCTTCCGCACACTCTCACAGATCAGTCCCCCGGTTACTTCGGCGCTTGGTGTTTGGGGATTCGAGCCGGCCTCCACAGCGACACCTGCTGGTCAGAGCCATTTTCGAGGTTTGCCCAGGGTGAGCTTCCCTCGGGAGAGCGATAGGGGGCAGTAGAGAGCAATACAATTTTTGTGTGTAGAAATTTGAAATGTAGGGAAACAGGTGTCTCGTTGGTCCCAAAACTGTCTTCCATGATCAAGGCGACCCCTCAAAAGGGACAATCCGTTGCTTCTGCTCTGAGAGGTGGTGTCCTGCCACCTGTATGGGAGGTTTCGTTTTCTTGCTGCGTCGTAATAAATAAGGCGGTTTGTCTGTTTATTTGCATCCCCGAAAAGCAAAAGAGACCGTGTCTCGCTGTGTTGCCCAGGCTGGAGTACAGTGGCTATTCACAGGCGCGATCCCACTACTGATCAGCACGGGAGTTTTGACCTGCTCCGTTTCCGACCTGGGCCGGTTCACCCCTCCTTAGGCAACCTGGTGTCCCCCCGCTCCCGGGAGGTCACCATATTGATGCCGAACTTAGTGCGGACACCCGATCGGCATAGCGCACTGCAGCCCAGAACTCCTGGACTCAAGCGATCCTCCGGGCTCAGCCTTCCGAGTAGCTGGGATTACAGGCGCGCGCCACCGCGCCCGGCGGGGGGATCCGCGGCAGAAAGCTACTAGAGCTTCAGCGCCGCTGACGTCACGGGACGGGAGGGGCAGGGAGCGGGCAGTTAGGCGCTGGGACCCGCCCAGCGTGAGGCGGTCTGAAGCGGGAGCGTCGGGACGTCCCGGGGCGGGGCCACGGCGGTCGACGCGGGGAGGAGGCTGGGGCTGCTGGCGGTCCCGCCTCCCGCCCGCCCCGGAGCTCTGGCCAGTTCTGGTCGGCGCAAAGGCCAGTAACCAGGTAACGTGGGGGAGAATGGCTTATGTTTGGGAGCTTGGAGGCTTGAAACCAACGAGCCAGGCTAAGGGGTGTTTGCGGAGGAGATGCGGGCACGGTAGATGGGGTGCTCTTACTTGTGTCTCCCCACGATCGCGTCCCCCCACGCCCCCCCACCCTTGGTGCCCAAGTCGGACTGAGCGCGCCCGTCCGTCTCCTGCTCCGTGCACGGATCAAAAGCCACCAGAGAGCGTTTTCAGCTCGGTCCTTCTCCCTCTGGCTCTAATACCTCCTCCGAATGGAAGCCACGGCCTCTCGGTGTCTGGGAAGAGCCACCCTCTTTGGCCCTTCAACCCCGCGGTCAGGATTTCAGCGTCGTCGCCGTCCTGTCCCGCGCTCCGGCCGGCCTCCCCGTCCCCTTCCTAAACTCTGGTTCACCTTGGACCCTGCCTCTTCTCAAATGAAAACCAAAGCCTCCGGGACCCTTAGCAGGGGGCAGCGGTGAAGGAACTCCCATCGCAAGCCACGCGGACTGTCGGGGATTGGTCTGCATGAAAATGAACGTGTTGCTAGCCTCCAAGTTACATTAATAAATTTTTACTGTGCACATAGAGTCGCAGAGATCCCTCTCTAAGAGCAGCCAAATTCTTGGAACTTGACTTTCTCTAGCACCAGGTGGCGTGTCAGTGCAGACCCTCTGCAGTAGCTCAGTTTAAACCAGGCAAATAAGAAAAAAGTAGGTATAACCCATGGGATGGGACAGCATTAAGAAGGAAAAAATCCCGGCTGCGTGGATGAGTTATCATGCTGAACCACTAAGCCACCTCGGACCAATACCTCCTCTGGTTTGTTACGTGAGCTATATAACCTGTCTCATTTAAATCAACGGTGTTTGGGGCCTCTTCATGATCACCACATACTCTTAACCTTACAGAAGAAAATTCTAGATCACTAGAACTTAGAAAGGATATAAATCAAAAGCTCTGTAGGCACTTAGAAGTTCTTCGATGGGAATGAGTCATCTTCAACCTGCAAGAAGAATCCGATTTTCTAGTTTGAATCCTGTACAGTCTATATATACAATGTTTATATCCACTTCATTGTAATTGTGCTGTAAATGAAACTTTATGCCTTCCTCATTTGTTACTGTATGTGCAGTAAATATCTGTATTTATGAACCTGTATGGTTTAGGCTGAACCACTATGTTACTAATCACCAAATCTCCATTTTATAAATTTTACCCCTATTATTTTATGAATTAATGATACACATAATTCTCAGTGCTAACTGCTAGGTTAACTGGGCTGAAGCTCCAATCAGTTGTTGGCTTTTTTTTTTTTTAAGTTTTGAACATTTTTCTTTTTTGTGCGCCAGTGCTAGAGCTTGAGCTTAGGGCATGGATCCTGTTCCTCAGCTTTTCCGCCCAAGGCTGGTGCTCTACCACTCGAGCCACAGTTTCACTTCAGCTTTTTTGGAAATGAGTCTCATACACTTCCCTGGCAAGCTTTGAACCCCGATCCTCAGATCTCAGCTTCCTTAGTTGAAGGGATTATAGGAGTGAATTCTGGCTCCAGAAGTTTTATAAATTATACTTTGATTTTTCGAAGACGGGGAGATTTCCAGTCTGGAACAGGGTTTCTGTACTCGAGCAATCCTCCTGTCTGAGCCTTCCACATAGCTTCAATCACAGGTGGGCAACACCAAGGCTGGCAGTTGTTTGTGTCAGGTTGGCAATTGTTTGTGTGTAAAACTATGAGAGAAAGGTGATGTCCAGTCTGGTCATGGGGGCTTTTATTCTTTTGAAATGTAATTTTTGTGATTACATTTCATTTAAAATGGAATGTAGGTCAATAAAACTCCACACCGTGGGATTCAAAGATGTTTATAAATTAGCCCTTCAGGCAATGTTGAGCCAAGAAGTACAACTCAGAACAGCCTTCTGCCCGGGTCAGTGGGGCAAGTGTGTGGCCAGGCACGAAGAGGGCTTGAAGCTCAGCCGCCAGTTCAGCCGAGGAAGCGCAGAAGTGACCAACTAGTGATAGGATGCACCTTGGGGACAGTCACCGGCCCAGCCAATACCACATCCCCGGCAGATCAGGGGAGTCAGGGCTCGGGGCACCACCTGGCTGGAGCATCACGGCCCAAGGCCCAACCCGGCCCAGGGAAAGCGACGCCCGCTGAAGGGGGAGGAGGGGGAGGGACTGGGGGCGGGGTCTTAGGGCGGAAGTAAGGCAGCCCTGCGGGAATGGGGTGGGCGGGGCCTGTGGTGTCGGGGAGGGGAGGGGACAAGGCGGCTGGGGAGTTAGGGGCGGAGCCTTGGGCGGGGAAGCGAGGGAGGAAGGGCGGGGCGTTGGACGGCGGGGCTCTGGGTGGGGCGGCGGGCTGGGAGGCGAGGGGCAGGGCGGGGCCTTGGGCGGGGCCTCCCCGGAGCCGCCTAGCCCGCCCCTTGGGAGGCCGCTCCGCGCCGGGTTGGGCGGACCCTGATGCCACTTCCTGAGCCTAGTGGTAGCTTGGGCCGGACACGCGTTCTCCTCCTGGAAATCCCCTGCGTGGATGAAAAGCCTGTAATAAGGGGAATGCACGCTCATCTCTTCGGAAACTAGTGTTTTGTTGTGTTTTTCTTTTTTTACTCTGGCAAATGTTTTGTTTTGTTCTTTCTGGCCCTGGGTTTGAACTCAGGGCCTAGACACTGCCCCTGAGCTCCACTTGAGCCACGGCGCCACTTCCGGCCTTTTCCTTTCATGTGGTGGTACTGGGGAATCGAGCCCGTGGCCTTAAGCCTGCCAGACAGCCACTGAGCCACATTCCCGGCCGCTGGCACGCTGTTAGCCACCAGAATAAATCCTAACGAGATGGCCAGAGTCACCACAACACATGGACATGGAGGCCGAGGGGTGAGGACGGAGGTTCAAAGTCAGCCCAGGCAGCAAATCCGTGAGACTCCTAGCTGCAATTAACCACGGAAATCCGGAAGTGAAGCTGTGGCTCAGCACCAGCCCTCACTGGAAAAGTCAGGTCGAAGGAGTGGCAAGCCCTGAGTGCAAGCACCAGTACTGCCACACCAAAAGAGAAAGGCATGTATGTAACTTCAGGGGCTTATTTTCTCCTATGTTTTGACTTTACTCTGACAGTTTTACAGAAAAGTTTTTGGCATTTTCAAATTTAGTACGATTTGACCTAAAATCATGTCCCCAAACCAAAACTTCACGCTCCATACTTCCTACTTCTCCAAACTGTCGATCCTATCTTCACTCTCTTTAATTTGTTTTGAAAACCATTAGAATACCTTATTTATATCAGCTAACATTTGAAAGACACTTCATGTTCGAAGATATTTCTAAGCTCCTGTAGACTGAAGCTAATGTCACACTCAGCCAAAATGATTGACAAATTATTTGCTTTTCTTGAATTTCTGTTCTGTAGGCTAATTATTTGCTATGGTTAATACATGTAAAGAGCCTGGATTTTTCGTATGATAGGAAAACAAATTATTTAACTTGCAGATAGCTTTTTCTGACTAAAATGAATGCTCAAGATAACTTTCATGGGCTAGGGTATAGCTCAAGTATTAGAAAGCTTGCTAAGTATAACTCCTTAATTCAAACCCAGTACCACCAAAAATAATGAAAATATTTTTAAAACAACATCCATTGACTAAACCACTCACTCATTCAGCAAATACTGAGTACCTACTATGTACTGCCAGGGGTCCCAAAGTATCAACGTTAGGGTAAATACTACATTTCGAGAATCAAAGTGTAAACAAGGAAATGATTCGGTAGTCTAAGTTCATGCCCATTCATGTTGGACCTCTGTACTACTTTTTGAGTAAAGAGATGATAGAAATAACTTACTTTTGGCCCTACCCATGACAAACATACAAATCCTAGAGTTTCCCCTACAGTAGGTGGTGAGGAGAGTAATACTTTCCCCTAGACCTCCTCCCCTCATCATGAACTAATGGGGGAAGGTAGAGGC